TTTTCTTTTAATAATTTATTTTTTATTAAATTAGAAATAAGTATATACTTATTATATATTTTATATAAACTTATTATAGCTATTATATAAGTAAATATTAAGAAGAACTATAATAATAAACTTGTTTTTAATAGTCTTATTTTTTTTAAATTAATAGAAATAGTATTATAATATATTTAATTAATTATTTTATAGCTTTAATTTAATTACTAATATATTAGGTTTAATTCTATAAATAAATAGAAACTAGAATTCGCTATTAAGAGTTTAAGTATAAGCTATAGGCTAGAAAAATATATTTTAAGTATATATATTAAATATACTATATATAAATATATTAAATTTTCTTAGTTTATATAAATATACTAATTAAAGTAATTAAGAATAATAATAAATATATACTAAATATATATATATTAAATACTAATTTATATTAGCTATTCTATAACTTCTCCTAAAACTCTCTAGAATTAATATTTTTATATAAGAACTTATTAAATTATATTTAATAAAAATAATATTAATTTTATATAGCTATAATTTAGATCTTAATAATAAATAAATATATAGCTTATTTTTCAAAAATAATTCTATAATAAGTATCTAGTTAATATATATATAATATATATTATATTTATATTTCTAGTTTTAAAAATATCTTTATAAAATATATTTAGATTCCTATAAGTTTAGTACTATATTATATAATAAGTATATATTAACTAGATATAAGTTTAAAGCCTAAATAAAATTAATATTATAATATCTAAAAAGATTATAAATTAAAAATAAGAATTCTCTTATTTTATCTAAACTTATAACTAATTAATTTAAGTATAATTTAATACTATATCTTACTTAAAGGCTAGTAAAAAGCTTACTATATAACTTAGCCTCTAATATAAGAAATATTATAGCTTTACTTATATCTAGTATATACTAATACTATATTTAGAATAGGGCTAAATAATAGTCTTATTAAAACCTTTATTTAATAACTCGAGTCTATTATATTAGTATTTTATATTATATTAAAATAAAAAGCTTATATTAATAAAGTAAGTAATTCTTGGTTTATATTAAAATTCGGTACTAATTTTTATTAGAAAGATAAATATAATAGGGGCTTAGTAAATATATGCTTTATATAAGCTTAGTATATATTAATAATACTAGATTAATATAATTCGGGACTTCTATTTTTATAAAAAAAATAAAGTATAATTTGAGATATATATATATATATCTTAATTATTATTATATATATATTAATTTATAATAATAAAAGTACTCTTAAATAATCTTTAAACTTCTAAATAAATAGTTAGGTATTAAAATCATATCGAGTTTATAAGCTAGAATTAAAAAACTAATAATAGCTTATAATTATATATCTAATATATACTTAATATATATAGTTTATATAGCCTATTTACTATTTTCTTATAAGTATATCTTTTAGCTACTAATTAAAATATTACTAGAGGAAATTAGACTACTAGTATATCTTATCTAAATCTTATTTATATTTACTAGATATTAATTTTCTAGATATCTAAAAATTCTATTATTAAATAAGAAATATATTTATATAATATATATACTAACTTTATACTAATATTATATAGGCTTTATCTAGAAAACTAGCTATTAAATAAGATAAGACTCTTAAGAATTCTATTATTAAATAAGAGATATATTTATATAATATATATACTAGCCTTATACTAATACTATATAAGTACTACCTAAGAAACTAGCTATTAAGAAATAAGAGATATATTTATATAATATATATATTAGCCCTATACTAATATTATATAGGCTTTATTTAGAAAGCTAGCTATTAAATAAGATAAAACCCTTAAGAATTCTATTATTAAATAAGAAATATATTTATATAATATATATATTAGCCTTATATTAATACTATATAGGCTTTATCTAGAAAGTTAGTTATTAAATAAGATAAAACTCTTAAGAATTCTATTATTAAATAAGAAATATATTTATATAATATATATACTAATTTTATACTAATACTATATAAATACTATTCGAGAAACTAGCTATTAAGTAAAATAAAATACTTGAGAAACTAGCTATTAAATAAGAAATATATTTATATAATATATATATTAGTCCTATACTAATATTATATAAGTATTATTCGAGAAATTAGCTATTAAATAGGATAAGATACTTGAGAAACTAGTTATTAAATAAGAGATATATTTATATAATATATATATTAGTCTTATACTAATATTATATAAGTACTATTCGAGAAATCAGCTATTAAGTAAGATAAGATACTTGAAAAACTAGCTATTAAATAGGAAGTATATTTATATAATATATATACTAGCTATATATTAATATTATATAAGTATTACTTATTTAAGTCAAGAAAAAATATTAAGCCCTAGTTAAATATATAAAAAAGATTAATAAAAAGCTAGATAAAAAGCAAATTCTAAAGATATTTTACTTTCTTTTTTAAAGAATTATTATTAATATTTAAAAAGGCATTATTATTTACTAAAATAGTAATAGAAAGCAAGGTGAGTTTATTACTTATATATATATATAGTATATATTAATAATAAATCTAGGATAAATAATAATTTGAAACTTTACTATTTATAAATTAAAAGATTAATATATATTAAGCCTATATAAATACTATACTAATAATTTTTAGGTAATATAATTAATGCTTCTTATTAGATTACCCGAGATTTATAAAGTATATACTAAGATAATACTTAATAAATACTAGAGACTTTTAATATTTTTTACTAATATATTTTATAGCTTGCTTTTTTTAAGAAAGCTTTATTACTAATATTATATATAATATAAGAATAGGCTTTAATAAAAGCAGTTTCTTTAAAAGAATAATTAATTAAGCCAAGAAAGAAATAAAGACTAAATAATAATTCTTAAAATAAGCTAAGTATATATATATAAAATATATAGCTAATAATTTTTTAGAACTAAATACTAACTTTTCTACTAATATTTATAATAATTTTAGTATAGATTAAATAGTCTTAAATAAAATATAGTATTTAAAGTTATTTTTAATTTAAATTTAAAGTTTTTATAATATTTTTTAAAAGAAATAATTAGAAAAAAAATTAAATATAAGTTTGCCTTATTTAAAGTATATATTAAATTTAAGTTATAGAATTTTATCTATATTCTAAAGTATATAAAGAAAGCAGTTTTATTTAATCTAGGAAATATAGTAAATTAAAGATATAAATAACGAATTTAAGGCTAGATTTAATAATAAGGATTTAGGTAGAAATAATTTAATATAATATATACTTGCCTTATTTGAAATATATACTAAGTTTAAGCTATAGGATTTTATTTATATTCTAAAGTATATAAAGAAAGCAGTTCTATTTAATCTAGGAAATATAGTAAGTTAAAGACATAAATAATAAATTCGAGGCTAGATTTAAGAATAATAGTTTAGATAAAAATAATTTAATATAATATATACTTGCCTTATTTAAAATATATACTAAGTTTAAGCTATAGGATTTTATTTATATTCTAAAGTATATAAAGAAAGCAATTCTATTTAATCTAGGGAATATAGTAAGTTAAAAACATAAATAATGAATTTGAGGCTAGATTAATAATAATAGTTTAGATAGAAATAATTTAATATAATATATACTTATCTTATTTAAAATATATACTAAGTTTAAGCTATAGGATTTTATTTATATTCTAAAGTATATAAAGAAAGCAATTCTATTTAATTTAGGAAATATAGTAAGTTAAAGATATAAATAATAAATTTATAACTAGATTTAAGAATAACGGTTTAAGTAAGAATAATTTAATATAGTATATACTTATCTTATTTATAATATAAGCCAGGCTTAAGTTATAAGAATATATATATATATATATATTTAATATTAAATAAGTAACTTATTAGGATAAGATTAAGAATATAATATAGTATATGCTTTTTATATACTAAGTATATATAGAATCTAAGCTATATTAAATCTTCTTTTGCCTTAGGGTCTTAAGAAAATATACTTCTAACTATAAAAATAACTTTGGCGGTATACTTATAAAGTATCTAATAATCTTGGCTTAAAAGAATCGGTTATAAAGTATTTTCTTAGCTTCCTTTACTTTATATCTATATATAGTATATACCGAGTATAAGTCGAAAATATAGAGGGCGGAGGTCAGGGTAAGAGGCGGTCGAAAACGAGGACAGGTATCTATATATTATTAAAGCTAGTAGATATAGTATGGTTTTTGGTGAGGAAAGTTGAACCATATTATGGAAAATACAAGGGTATTCTCGCTACTAATAATATGGTTCAACTTAAGCGATACTATGGTTCAGCTACTGGCTCAGACGTCCAAAACCTCCCTCGTTAACCGATGTTCCGCAGACGTCAAGGGCTTCGACATCACTGGTGCAGTTACTAAAGTCGACTTGAAGTTTCCAGGAATCAAAGGTATGTCTCATTACCCTCTCAACACATACCTGCTGACTGGCATATCTAGATAAATGTGACTGTATCAAGCCTGTCTCAACAGACCTACCACCTGTGCGTCCTGGGTCTACAAGTTCAGCACTGCCAACGCCGTACTATCTAATGGACCTGGAGTTTAAATTTTATCGGGCTAGTCCTTTACTCTTTGGCAATAATGAAGCTTGTCTACTTCGACTATATGAAACACCTCCTACCTCCTGTTTACGTAGTGACCACGGGACCTTGAGATTTTCCACTCCTTCGGATCTTAGTACGATCTCTGTACTGAAAATTGATCTTAAGTCAAGTTTTTGGTATCAGATATTCAGCTTCGTCCAGAGGATCCCTGAATGCAGTGGAGCGTCGGTGGAGAGTAGCGCAATCACATGACGCCCCTGAACCCCACCTCAGATTCAACCTCACCGTAGATCCAGCTGGCCCTCTTCTCTTCTCCCAAATACCAAGACTTCGAGCCCACAGCATTGCTTCTACAGTATTGATTTCTTTTGCGTTAATTCAAGTTCTCAAGCTGTGGAGGATTGAGATGGGGAGGAGATGGGGCTTGATCCTATTATTATGTGGTAGGATATGACTGAAAGGTGGAGGCGGAGGCGACGATGAGGAGTGTGCTGTGAGGTGATTGCAATGCGAGCGTTGGATTAGAATATCCTTCATTCATTATTCAGTCTGTTGCGATGTTCAATTGATCCTGCTCTGGGATGAACATCCAGGAAAGGAAAGCACAACCTCCGGTTCTCACACCTTCCCCAACACTCCTCACCCACCCCTATACTTCCTCGCCCTCTTTCGCTCTCTCAACTTCCAACAACACAACTCACAACATCATCCATAACCTCCTCGAAACCACCAACACATAATGTCTCGCCCCAACGCACCCGCTCGCGAGCCAGCAGAGCAAGTCATTCACCAAGATACCAGTACCCCCTCCGATGATTTACCCATCACCCCTCTCGCCCCTGAAGCGCCGGCCCCGGTGTGCCAGTGTTCGACGAGCTGGGAACATAGGTTTTGGGGTTGTGAGTTGGGCTTTGCCTTCCGCACTGTTCTCAACTACTTCCCCAACCTTCACGTCTCGCATTTCCCCTTCTCAACTCCCATCTGCTACTCCTTGGGGGAGAAGAGAAGAGGTTTTGCAAGTCAGGGAGAGAAAGAGGCTAACAAACACAGGCCCAGCTAAAGTCGCATCCTCACTCCGAGAGCAAAATGAACCGGGTGGAGGGATGTGGAAGAGGAGGGATGAGGTGTGGAAGGGCTTGTTGAAGGGCGAGGTGTTTAGCATTGAGCAGTTGGAGAATGTAAGTGCCCTCTTCCTCGGTCATTGAAACTGGTGCAAGGGCGGTGTACTGGAGCAATGATGAAAGTTGAGGAGCAACAAATGACTGACGCTAATGGATGGTGATAGGAACCCTCAACACAAGACTTATACTATGCGCTGCATCAAGAGAAAGATGTCTTGTTGCGATTCCTCAATGACCGGCATGTTGTGGTAAAAGAGAAGTGGGTCGGGATTCATCAGGAGGAGAGCGGACGATGGATTGCGCCGGATCCGAGAGAGCAGGAAATTACGGTTGAGCGCGGGATGATGGTGGCTAATAAACTCGTCGAGATGCTTTCGAAGAAGGAGAATTGGAAGGCATTGTATGGAACAGAGTTGAAAGAAGAGGAGAGTTTCAGGTTGGAGTTATTGGTTTTTGATCTTAGCGATGTGAAAGTCAAGGAAGAGGGAGGGATTGAGGGAACTGTGTGGTGGTGCATACGCTCGGAAGATTGCGAGGGTTGTGAGAATTGTCGGGGAGGCCAACCGAGCCAGCCCGAATGGAAAGAGGTTGGGACGATGACAAATGGTTTCGATCCGTTGTATGATTATGTGGAAGAGGGGACGCAGACTGAAATGGAGAAGCCAGAGAAAGAGGTCGCGGAGAAGACGGATAGGCATGATAGTGGTGTGGGATTGGAAGCGGGGGAAGAAGTTGCTGTGCGCGGCATTGAAGACCTAAAGATTGGACCGAAGAATGCTCGGGGAAAGGAGGCGGAGAGCAGCGATGATGAACAGGGTGGAGTCGGAGTTGTTGATGAGCAGACAGGTGGAAAATCCAGTGACGACAAATTGTATGAGGGAGATATTGAAAATTAGGGTTGGGTTGGTTCATGGATACTGGCATTCTTACGTTGAGGAGGAGCAGGATTGACGCTTGTCATTGTTCTACTTGTTTATCAGGTATTCAAAAATAGCATTCTGTCATTCCGGCCCAGTAAAATCGAAAGGCAGGCGTACTCGTATGTGTTTTGATATTCGACATGTCCATCAAGTGTGAGGTTGAACAAGAAGTTGAAGTATGTGATCTTCACAAGCTTCGCTGTCTCCTCCTGCTTCGTAGGCCCACCTCAAGTCCGTGAAATAACGCTCAGTCAACATCCTCCATCGCTTCAGCCCAAGCGAAAAAGAAGCTCAGAATATCATTGAGCCCGCCAGCCTTGCGAAATATTCCTGGTCGCGAAGTCCTCGTAGTCTCCTGAACTCGCCTCGGCACTGCCAGCACCGAATGACAACGCTTGACACTCTTCTAATCTAATCATGGGGATATTGCAGTAAGATGCACACTGGATCTCTGAGATTCATCTCTCCTTCGCCGCACGAGAAGCTCACTCGAGCATCTCGCGCAAAGATGCAGACTTTGTCACAGAACTCTGAACGTATATCCACGATCCTATGAGATCCACACGTAAGCGCTACTCGTCTACCGAATCTCATGAAACTTTTCATAGCCCAATAATCGCTAGGACGCACATCGACCAGCCGCACAGATGTTGGATGTTTCCAGTTGATCACCCCACCCCCCACCTATCAACGACACCTATGCGAAGTGATACTTGCTATTGGGAGAGCTGCAAGATATTGAAGTGATAATCTGCGTACTGTCGCTTCGCTCGGTCGAGTTTCGACTTATGAGATGCTCTGTCACATTGAGCCAGCATGAGCACAACTGGAAACATGTCCATCTTCAAATAAGATCCACCGCAATGTCCGTTGGCGCCGCATGATGTTTGTGATTGGGGTTACCGTTCGAGAACTATTGCCAGTGCGAGTTTCCAGCACGGGTGCTAATGGGCAGCAAAATTTGCCGGGTGTGCCACCCAGGCCGGGCGCTTACATTTTGCCTTTGCAGCCACTCACAACGACGACATCCCTCTGTGCATGCATCTTCCCACCTGCGGGGCAACCAGCGATCCCATCACAGCGCGAGGACGCAGCCGGTACTGTTGGATTCGCAGGCGCTATTCTGGGTGCTCATGCATGTTCCTGGCCTGCAAAGCACCCGAATGGCTGGCCTGGACTGACATTTGCTGCTCTCGCCCAATGGCATGCGCCCCTCCCCTCGGCCGCTCTTCGAGCACGCAGCACATCACCACCATGGCGCCCAAGACAAGTCCAGCTCGGGGTATATCACGTATACCCGCCCACTCGCTGGGCTCAGGGAGACAACTCCATGCTGCGTTTGTATCGCACTACGTTTCGTCCCTGGGCGACGACGCTGTAAATAGTGGAAGCTCGTCTTCGCGAGAGAAGAAAGAAGCACCATGCATGTTTGGGCCGAGACATCGATCCAAGCACCAGCGATCCTCATCTTGTTCTTGTCATTGACCTGCCTCACTTCTATAAGTTCGGCCAACATCCTGACCGACGTCCCCAAGAACAACCCATTGAACATCTGGTACGATCCTGCACCACCACCAGCCGACGGACCCCCTCTGTCAGCATCGGCCTCGAGAGACAGATCCCTTATTCCAGCACAGGTCGGCGGCATCATTGGAGCATACCTCTTCTCCGTCTGCATTGTCGGCATAGCTCTCATCTGCCTGGGCCGCAAGCTTCGATACCAGATCCAGGTCTCTACGAAAGCACTTGATATTGAGATGGTAGAGCCTCGATTTGAAACCGCGCTACCAACTCCTCATCCGCAATCGCCAACTCTCACGTCGCCAAGCGGCTCGCGGAACTTCTCCTGGCCTTCTCCAGAGAAGGATACCAAGAATCCGTACATCTTTCCGCCGAGCTTGAAGTCGCCGCGGACGCCGCCTCCCTTCGGAGACCCATACGTCGATACTCGGATCGTCGAGGCAGACCGCGAGATGTTGAACCGAGACTTAGAGGACATATATGCCCATGTGATGGAGCAGGAGGAGGCGAAGGCACAAGGGATCAAACCGAAAGAGATGCCTCCACCAGCACAGCTGCAGAGGACGGGTCCTGTTCCTACATCTCCTCCACAACGCCATTCCCCACCTCCAAAGAAGATCGAGAAATCCCGCCCTGCGAACCTCAACATCGATGAAACGAGATCCACAAAGAGTGGCCACTCCCGCATCTCCTCCATAATCTCGTCAATCAAATCGCCAAGGAAGAAGGCAATGCAAATTTCGAGCCCAATGGCGACTCCCGCATCGGCCTCCTTCCCTCGCCATCAAGAAGACGAAGAGCCCCTCTCCCCACGCTACTACGCACCACCCCCTCCTCCCCCGGTTCCCAGAGACCAAGTCCCATTCACCCACCACCGCAGCACGTCGAACTTGACAGCCGCCGTGATCCCCCTCCCAACCTCACCGCGCTGCAATCTCAGCCAGCCGCTCTCCCCCAGGTCACCCTACGGCCCCACAGTCCGCAACCAAAGGAGCAACCATCAGATGAACCCCTCGCAAGTCTCCATCCAGTCTTCCACCCGCGGGGGAGACCTCTCAGCAACGAGCCAAACACCGCTCAACCCACTCCAAATGCAGCCGCCTCCCAAGCGCCAACCCTCTCCCAACCCACCTTCCTCCACCAACTCTTCCCAACGCCAACTCCCACTGCGCCAATTCGAGCCAGCAGTCACGTCTCCATCATTTGCTCCAAGCACTAAGACAACGGTGTTGGAGAGAAATAGTCCGGTTGGTGGTGCGGGCCCACAGACGGGCGGATTGAGGACCCCTTGGAGTGCGGGTGCGGTGCCGTATAGTCCTTATCAGCCGTTTACGCCAATAATGCCGATTACGCCAAGGCTTGTAACGAAGGAGGAGAGGAAGATGATGAAGAAGAGGGAAGGCAGGACGCCGGTTTTGGAGATGATTAAAGGCGAGGATGAGCTTTGGGATAGTGCTTATTAAGTCACGGGGTTCTTTTTCTTGGGTTTTGGATGGATGGGTTTGGGTGTGAATATTTTCTTTGCAGGAGGGGAGACGGGTGGTGCATAGAGAGGTGGGCTAGATGAGAAATCTTCCCAGTGGAGTTTCGTTCCTTCTTATTCGGGGAGTGAGCTGTAATGATACCATGACTACTCTAGTCTTTCCAACTAACTCCTCGAGTTTATCAAGACTATTTCCTGTCAATATATATACAAAACCTATCAATCACAACGTATTCATACTCTCTCTTCCGCGCCGCCTTCCCCTTCCCCCTCCTCACACCCATCAAACCCTCACCCCATTTTCTCCTCATCCACCTCCCTCAAACTCCTAACCTTCTCCTCACTCCCCCTCGCACTCTCCCCCAACCACCCTAGCGGTAAACTAAGTCTCTCACCAGGCAAACCCAGCGGCAACCCCTCCAAACTCCGCGTCCCGAGCCTCAGTCTCTTTCTTCCTCGTCCTTTTCCCCACCACACCCACAATACAATTACATAGATGAAGGCTATCACAACTGCAACGACCAGGTACACAAGCATCTGCGGGATCGTCCAGTTAGCTGCTAGCTGGATTCCTGTACCGCCGCAGACTACTCCTAGTACTATCAAGCTTCGTCCGTACCTAGAAACAATCAATCAGCACCACAATCAATCCTCGCTTCGCAATCCTCTCCAAAGTGGAGTGCTAAGCTACTTCCTTACGGAAATAGGCGATGAGAGCAGGCGCACATGTACATACCAAGTATGGATCCTCGTCCACCACATCGTCCGCAGCTCATCGACATCTCCCTTCTCGATTAATTTTCGATAGTTGCGGTGGTGGACAAGGCCGAGGATAGGTTGCATGAGAAACAGTGCAAAGATCACAGTTCCCATTTGTTCATGTCCTTGGTTCCACAGCTCGTTATGGAGGTATGATAACCAGCACCCGAGCCCGAATCCTGCACAGAGGATAAACATTCCTGTTGACTGCCAGTAGAGGTGGAATTTCACTGCGGAGGGGGAGGCGGTGGGGTGTAGCTGCATTGTGCGGAGGAGAATGCCTCCAAGGGGGAAGAATAAAACGATAGCAACGGAGATGGTGATGCCGTGTACTACGTGGGCAGTTGTGCGGAGGGAGGGCGTGCCGTGGAGACCCGCCATGTCATCATCGTCGTCCCGGGGCTGAAGTGTGGAACTGAGGGTTAGGGGGACGAGGGCTGTAGCTATTAGTCTTTGGTGACTTCGCAAGATAAAGGAGAGGAGGGAGACGAACTGAGGAGTGTAAGCACAATGGCTTGAAAGCGTACAGGTATCATCTTAACTATTGGCTTTGTTGAAACACCGTTTGAAGACAAGCAAGACTTGAAAAGAAGCAAGGCCGGGCTGCGTTGGAGGGAGGAAAATATGTATAAAATAACGAGCTTATCATCCTAGACCCCTCTTTTGATATCAATTGTTCCAAAGGAAGTTCCCACTCATGTTCCAGAGCAAGTGCCAACAAGACTGTGTGCTTTACCCAGCGACACTACCCTCCATTATTCACGGCGTAAGAATTGCTCGGAGGCATTGAGCTCGATATTGAGTTTTGTGCACGACACATCGGTGGAGCGTGATTGGCAGAGAATGGCGTATTGGAGAAAGTATGGTGAGCGTTTGATGACCCTTGTATTAGCAGCTAAGAAGGTGCAGGCCGTGAAATAGCCGCATATTAGGAGACGAAGGATGCAATACACATGATTTGTTGGTTGGAAGATGGTTGGGGATTGGGGACCAGAAATCAATTTATTTTGAAAGCATGTGCTTTTGGTGGATGTTAAAGATCGCGGCCATTGCTCGGCGTACACCCCACCAAAACTTACCTCAACTACCCATGTTTCCCTTATTAATTTATAAGGAAGATAAGACAAATTCGGTCAACGAACCTATCATATACTCCCTAGAATTTATCAAGAGATATGATCTTGCTTTAGAGGGTAGGTGTGGTGGAGTATTCGTTTAGGTGTGTGCGGAGTAAACGCATGCGCTCTTAGATCGGATGTGACGGTTGGAGAACTGGGTGGTATTTGAGATGTTGAAGGATGTGATGGTTCGAGGCGGGCTTCTGTGAGAGAAGGTCTGGAACAAGAGAGAGGATGCACTTGCTGAATCTTCTAGGAGGACGAGGGAAATGATTGAAATCGAAAGGCCTTGTATGGTCGGGGGAGAGCGATACTCAAGCTGTGGAACGTACAGTAGAGTTGAATCCTTCCTGGCCAATCACGCACAGGAATGGAACCGAGACGTTTCATCCCAATTAAGCTGGACGTGAAAAGTGGCATGTAGATGCAATGTTGCCTTGCAACCTAGCTTGTGTAAAAAAGGAATTCGTGACACCAAAATGCTTGACACGAGTCTGGGAAAGCCTATATCGTGCCACTTGAACACTCGAACCACGCATCAGGGATTCAGGAAGGGTGCGAAGAAAAGAGACGCGCTTGCGCTGTATAACATGAGATGGACCTGGTACACGGCACACCCACGAAACTCAAAATGGAGTGCTGACAGGTACTGTACACTGGACCTCGTTCCTAGATCGTCTATTCTAGCCATCCGATTCTGTCTGCCCGTTCAAAAACTGCTCACCAGTTCTCCCAGACCTTCTCCGGGAGAACCGTCCTCATCACAGCCCAATGCCCCATGGCAGACTTCTCCTGCCACCCCCTAAACCTCTCCGTATCATTACTGCTCAAGATTCCCCCATCGCTCTCCTCCAGTGCAAAAACACTCTGATCAACCTCATGTGTCGGCAACAAAAACATTTTCCTGGCACCACTGCCTAACATATCTTTCTCAGTCGGCTTTCTGAATATAACATCATCGGCAGCATTAGTACAGAAGATAACCATATTAGTGAAATCGCGCCCGTCTTGGAAGATCTGCTCTGTGGAGGGGGCGGCGGATTCCCGGAAGATGCGGCAGGTTGGGAAGACGGTTTTGATGGTTTGCACGATGATGCGTGCTGATGGCAGGAGGAGGTCACCAGCGTAGTTCTGGGTTCGTTAGAGAAGTCTGGGAAGTTGGGGGGGACTTACGATTGCGATTACTCCACCTGGTTTCAAGATGGTGTTTAGATCTGAGAGGAATTCCGATGTGAATAAGTCGGCCGGCTCTGCACCGCCCGTGAATACATCGTTCACAATATAATCATACTTTTCTTCTGTTTGGGCGATAGAGGCCGCGTAGGAGACAGCGTCTTCGATCACTGCTTTGTGGTTTGTGGGGAGTCCGAAGTATTTGGTTGCATACTCATGGACAATGGGATCGATTTCGACAATGGTAGTCTCGATTCCATGAGCCATTAATGCTGCAGGGGTCGTCCCAATCCCCAATCCTCTGATGGTTGTCAGTCACGTACAGTACCAGGAGGGATCAACTCACATCACCAAGGCCTTTGCCTCTGAATCAGGGACAGACTTCTTCACTTCCACAAGCCTCACTGCTTCCAACATCACAAATACCCCATAAATAGGCTCTGCCAGAAGGTTCCTGTCCGACTTCACCAACCACTCACCACCCAGAAGACTGTGATCACATCTCATAACCCTGAATCCCTGCTCGCGGCTCTCAAGGATTGACATATAACCCGTCAGAGATTCTCGACGGGCAAGAAGAGTCCACCCCTCTCTGGCCATCGTCGAGTTCAGTAAAGAAGTCGTGTAAGAATACGGCACGTGAACATTGAAGAATGCTGTATGCAGAATGGCTGGAATGGTGTAATAAAGTAGTTTTGAGGGAGCAAAGATGGCGTAAAGATGAGCAAGCCATATCTGACAGCCCAGTCGAGTGTGTAAAAAGCTGGATCCAATTGTCTGCTGGAGGACATTGCGGGAGTAATACTCCATTCCCTTGAAAAACGCATACGCGCTGAGTCCCGGCATTGCATCTGACAGCCATTGAAATCTGCCAATGCTCATCTCCAAGTCGTCCAGAATGGTGGCTGTACTTGAGACTGAGAGTAACAGCAACGGCAAGAAAGTGAACATTTCAATGACAAGAGGTCCAAACAGCGCTCCCATAGTGCCACTGATCTTGAACAGGAAGAACTGCATCACGGGGATGTAGGCCGCAATGAGGGGCAGAAGCTGCTGCGGCTTGAGAGGTAGTCTCCTCCGAATAAAGAGATTCGATGACCATCCAATGAAACACGCGGTCATGACTGCTCTTGAATGCCATATCGATGATGGTATGGAGCCGTAAACGGGCGATAATGTGAGTTGAGAGACGTTCGAGTACACGGCGGCCAGCGTGAGCAGCGTCCCGGATCGAACCAGGACCCAACCCTGCTCTTTCGCCCATCTTCCCCAAGTCTCTTCCTTTGCTTTTTCAGCTAACGCTTTCAGTTCCCACTCGAAGTTCTCTTGGGTCAGTAGCTGCTCGGCTGGTGGTGGCGCCTTGGGCTGTTTTGGTGGTTTGGCCATGACGGGCTGTGATGGTCAGGCCCCAACGCTCTTCGATGAGCGCGAACGGTGTGACAACGGGATAGAGACAGCTATTAATCACAGATGATGAAAGGCATATTGGCGATGAATATCTCGATGTATTTCGGAGACGTTGCCATATGGCCTGATGCGACCAGTGCGGTGATCCTGAAACACTGATCGTTGAAACAGATTCGGAGCCCTGCTCAGATCAATCAGGTCACGTGAATCACCGAAACTTGACTTGGCGTTGAAGATCCTCAGATGAAATAGGCAGAAGTGAACCAAGTACCAGGTTGACGAATTACCAGGTGTAATTCACGTTACATAGGAACAGAGGAGATTTCTAGAATTGTAATTATTTCTAGAAGAGAAGCGTGAAGCTCGTAGAAGCTTGGGAGCGAGGCTAAATACTCCTTAGCGCCATAATTAAGCGAAATGTGTGCCTAAGGCTGAAGCGAATTTTCCCCCTCACAGCGTACTGTAGCTCTTCAAGCCTTCAACTTTCTCACAACTTCACCTCAATCCTCGCAGTATGAAGTTGGATGACCTCGTGGAAGAGCTTAATTACCGCTCTTGCCATGAGTGTCAGGCATAGGCAAATCCTCGGTGAGATTGCCGCACCGTGTTCCGTTCCGTGAAAACGAAGGAGTCGGTTACGATGCATCTCATTTCCGTCACCTCGATCGATCACCGTCATGCTTCAGTCAAGCGCGTACAAAACTCCCAATCACATACCCCTTTTCACACTTGTTCATCGTGGTATCAGTAGTAGCACTGCTACGTTGTTTTATGTTCTTTGAGATCTGGATCCTCATATTCCCTGTTCCCAACACGCTCATTTTCGAAGAATGCGGGATGTTGCACAAGCGGGGATGGCTGATGAGATGGTATTCATTAATTCAGTTCACCCGTACAAAATATCGCAATGACCCGAGTACGCTGACTGGCCAATTTTTCCAGCTAACACGTCGTTTGGAGTTCCTTCCCATGTTTCTCTTCGTGGAAGTCACTTTACGTGCCGTCAGCTTCTGTCTAGGCTTATTTTCATTCCATCAATTTTGCTCACTCGAGTGAGATTCAATTGATTTAGCTGTTGATGCTGAGGTCAGTTGCCCAGCATGTTTATCTCAATTCTTTAAAGGTGTTTCTTCCTCGTGCTCTCACTATCAGATCTTGCCATGGCGAGTCCAGCGACGACGTCAACTAGAAGAGGATCTCCATGTCAGTATTTACCTCCTCAGCTCACTCTGACCGGCCAAGCTAGCATCATCTCCACCTTCATCCTCCCCATCATCCCCCTCGTCACCGGCTTCTCCTGCCTCACCAAAATCATCATCCTCTGTTCCCAATCCAAATATAACGGCTTTAAAGGCCCAATTTTTCCGCCGATACAAATCAGAGCGCATAATTATCAAATATGGTCCCTTCATCACTCTCCCCAGTACGACAAACAACGGAATGGATACCTACGAAGTGCTCAACGCATCAACCCCCTGCATGGACTGCCTCGTAACCTACATCGCCGCCAACCTCGAGTGTCCAGACGGTATGACGACCAATACCGAAACAGGGATGTGACTGCATCATGTTCTCTTATGCAGCACGACAGAGAACGACGCCGTCTATCCATAATACTAATCGCATCGGATCTTAGCAACAGGAAATGAGAGAACCCCTGCTGATATTTCCGTCAATGGGTTTGTCCTCTTCTTTCTCCTTCGCATCAAAATTCCCCTACGGACCACCCCACAGAACAAAGGAATCAGGCATCCACCTCCCCGCCAGTGCTACCTTCCTCCTCGCCCCCGAACTCGTGAACGAATCCTCCGAGTCGCAGGATGTTTACCTCACGATAACTTACGAATATATCCCAAGAAGCCCTCCGCATTCAAAGCCGTGATCCCAGTCTGGCTCGACATAGCCGGTGTCTATGGGACTTCCGACTTCCCCGCCCTTCCAGAACCGCCTTTTCCATTACCTCCAGACACTGGACCGCAAATTTAACGGGAGAAATAGTTTTCCCGGCAGGACATCTTTACGACAGAGGCGCACGCCTTCAAATCCTTCAGCGAAATGAGGCAGTCTGTGATTCTAACGCTACATACGCGGCTACCCGGGGGTATGTGTCGCCTATGAGCTTGATGCCTGGTATGATACCCGGCGAACACGTCGAGAGATCTGATACATTTGAGTAATATGAGTACTTGTACGGATATTGGGAGGATGAGGGAGGGACAGGCGTGGGCGTGAGGGCGGAGTATGATTTCAGGGAGCATACGCGAATGGAGATGGGGGATGAGGGCGTGGAGGGAATGGGAGGAAGGGGTTGAGTCCGGTTATGGGGTTTGCGTTTTTGTAGTTAAGATCACGGGTGAGAGGGTGAGGACGTGCGAGCAATGATATTCATGCTGTGAAAATACAAGGTTTGGGATAGCATGCTGCTATAAAGGATGCCATCGTTGCCCTTCGGACGGAAGCCCAACATGAAAACTTCCGACCCCCTGTCTCCAACCCTAAATGCTGCGAACGATCCAAACGGTGGGATAGCACATGTGCTATAAAGGATGCCGTCGTTGCCCTTTGAAGGGGGGCCCAACGTGAAAACTTCCAACCCCCTCCTTTTCCTTTTGGGATACCAAACCAGAAACTAGATCTTCTCCCCGTCTAAAATCGGCTTCGCCTCCTCACTCATCCACCAACCCCCAGGTCCACCAGGGAAACCATAAGCCTCCATACTCGCCGCCTTCATCTCAACACTATACCCCGGTTCCATAGGCGTCTGATAATACCCATCTTTGATCACAGAGGGATGCTCAAAATGCTCATGCAAATGGTCCACATACTCCAACACACTGAGTTTTCCACTCACAACTACATAATCGATCGTACTCAAATGCTGCGTATACTCGGGTAGACCCACGCCTCCAGAATGGGGTACGATCGGGACGTTGAATTTCTTCGCCATGAGGAGCACTGCGAGCACTTCATTCACGCCACCCATGCGGCAGGCGTCGATTTGACACACATCGATGGCTCCGCTGGCCAAAAGTTGCTTGAAGATCACGCGGTTTTGACACATCTCTCCTGTTGCGACGCCGATTCCATCGGGGCGGAGGGCGTCACGGATGGCTTTGTGGCCCAGGATATCGTCGGGAGACGTGGGCTCTTCGATGAACCAGGGCTTGAACTCTTTGAGGTGTTGCATATATTCAATTGCTTCGGGGACGGACCAGACCTATCACGTAGAATCGAATTAGTAAGTTAGAAAACTTATGGAGGGACAATGAAGGGAGATGAATGAATGACAAACCTGATTCGCATCAATCATCAAGATATTCCCCTTATCATACCCAATCACGCTCCTCGCAATTGTCAACCTTCTCCTGTCCGCCTCAACACTCGTGCCGACTTTGAGCTTGAAATGTCTGTATCCCTTGCTGAGTGTCTCCTCGAGCAACCCCTTCATCTTTTCCTCTCCATACCCAAGCCACCCCGCACTCGTCGTGTAGGCCGGCACCGCCCTCGAATTCTCGGCGTCCTTCATCCTCTTCGCCTTCCCCACTTCCTCCTTCCTCAACATTTCCACTGCTTCTTCTGGTGTAATCGCATCCGTAATATACCTAAAATCAATGCACCTAACAAACTCCTCCGGGGACATCTCCGCCACAATCTTCCACACCGGTTTATTCAATGTTTTAGCCCAGAGATCCCAGATGGCGTTTACCACAGCACCAAGCGCAAGGTGGATAACTCCCTTTTCAGGTCCGATCCAGCGCAGTTGCGAGTCTGAGACTAGGTATCGCCATGTTTGGCCCCAGTTCGCGACGAGGGAGGAGAGGGTGCGGCCTTTGATGCGGCCGGCGACGTTGTCAATTGCTTTGCAGACGATGTCGTTGCCGCGGCCGATGGTGAAGGTCTTTATACAGCAGAAACAAGTTAGTTGACTGTTTCTAGGTTTTGGAGCGGGGGAGGAGAGAGGAGTGGTACCATTCCATGACCGGAGAATTGGGAGTCGGTTTTCAGGATGCAGTATGCGGCGGAGTAGTCCCCTGCTGCGTTCATGGCATCGGAGCCGGTCTTGTCGAGAGAGGTAGGGAACCGCACATCGCGGGTGTCCCAGCCGGTGATGATGACTTCTGGCATAGTGCTTGTGGTTACAGCTCTTCTTTCTGTTTCTGCAGTGAAGTGTGTCGTCAATTCGTCGAAATGATGGTCAATTGGCAGCTTAAACTCAAAAACGGATGAAAGGGAGAATTAGAGAAGAAGGAATGAGAGACAGAAGGGAGTGACAGCTATATACACTTCACAGCAAAACCTGGGGATGCCCCCGGAACATTTTTTCGTTCTGGAGGAATGTGGGGCAAAACGAGGGGGCGTTCAAAGGGTGTTAATTGGTGGAGAAATTATTGTGGCTTCAGCGCTAGAAGCCTGATGCGACACAACGCCGAAGGTTGTCTAGGAACTCGAAACGCCAACTTCAGCCCCAAGGGATCAAAATTCGTGGAAATTGTTGAAGATTCTTCCTGATGTGTGCAACTTCGACTTGGATTGTAGGGGTCAGGTTGGGGCTATGCTGGGGACTGAGGGGTAATGGAGAACTCCCTTAGTCCGAGCCAACCCCGGAGTCGAGATCAACTTTAAGAAAACCCCATCTCGAGGCCACTCTGTTCTCAACTTGTATTGTCAAAGTCTGACCTCAAGCGCATGCTCTTCTTTAGTCCCTAGCAAGGTGGCAATAGGATATAAAGCAAGAATATGTTTGTTATAAAGAGGAGCGAGGGTGGTCCCCAGATCGAAGAAGTCTTCCCGTCAGCCTCAGGTCAGCAGAGGCTTCTGCAGAATATCACAATATCGCGGGGGACCCAGAAATGGACACTAAGGCCTCAGTGTCCTTAGTCAAAGTCGGACCTCTATCTGGGCTGGGAAGGGGTGGACTTTAATATTCTGGTTCTAATCTTGAAGGTACGGGACCTTTGGAGCGGAAGCATCGTTCAAAGCATCCAGCTTGACTTGGTTTCTTGAGCTAATAAGGTTCAACTATCCCGAATCCCGATCGATGCAAGATTGAACAAGGACGGGAGGTCGTGACTTCGCACTCAAAAACCGTGCGATAGGCGAGGCCGTGACATTTGACCTCCTTGGCGGGAATTTCAGGAAGTACCTCGGCCGTCTCAGAGAGTTTTCGATAGTCAACGAAGAGGTTAGCGTTGAGGTCGATAGTGAGCGGGATATCTGTCCAACTGCCATCCACCGTTAATTCAATCCTTTCGGTTCTCGAGCAGGATTGTTTATTCTCGAGACCGTTTGCTTTTGTCCTCCAATGCTACTTCCTCATGGTCGACAATGACCTGCCGCTTCAATTTCTTGTACTTTACCAAGTCCCCTTCTCGAATCTGCTCGAATCGCGGCTGCTCAAAGTCGGGAGGGAAGTTGGCGATGATTTGACGATACTTTCCGTATTCCAGCTTTCTGGTGTCCTTTGTGCAGACAAAGTGATGGCCACTGGCAGCTCCGTTTTGTGGTTGATGATCGAAGAACAAGAACAATGGACACACCGAATGGTCGAGGGAAGCGCGGTGGTGCATGAAATTGAAGGATTGACCGCATTTCCGTTTCTTGTGGCAACCACAATTCCCATTGTCCGTTGGTGATTTCGCACTGTCCATGTGGGATACAACATGCGATTGGAAATTTTTCGAGTTGAAAGCGTGTTGAATCGTGCAAACCGGTCTCTGATGGCACTTTCCTGTAGAGAAGCCACCGAACATGTCGACCAGAAATCTTAAGCTGGAGCTTGCCAGTAGCAGATTCGTGGAGAATATCCCAGATGTCAGAACGAGTGATATGTCATTGCTCACTGCCTTCTTGAAATCCTCGACGAGACTTTCCTTACGTCCCTTCGGCAACCTTTGATATGGACCTTTCGAAAATGTCGTCTAAGGAGTTGTTGGTAAACTTGATCACCTTCGGAAGTGCCTCTTTGATTCTCTTTTCAAACTTAGCAGGCCATTTGCGACTAGTATCGTCTTTCTGGTATGTATATCTGTTGTTCCCTCCGTGTTCAGCACACGTGGTATGATCGCAAACCTTGCAACGCAGGAATTTCTTGATCAAAAGAGCGTCCGAGCCCTCACAATGGCAACGGGCGCAGGTTTCTTGAGCCAATTTGACAGCACCTTCAGCTATAATTGGCTCGATGACAGCTGTCAGATCCGCGGGGCTCATTTTGGTGAGGTCGTACGCTTTGTCAAATTTCTGAACACGGAGGTCGTCGCTTGGTGGCTGGGAAATCTTCTTGCCAGTGTCACGGCCCAGCACCCTAGAGAAGGTTGTGAGAGCGGCAATCAAAGGAGCGCCAACGATCGTCGATGACAAGGCGTTTCCCGCCAGTTCCAGTAAGTAGGGCCCAATCAGGTATGAGAGATCCATTCGACGGATGGGCAGCCCTTGGAGAAGGAGGGCTTCTTTTGCATTGATCATGCGACCTTTGGAAGTCCACCGTTTAATACCAGACGGTATGATACATCCAACAATCCCAGTCGTCGGCCGTGAACCGTCGCTACGATCGACATTCTGCGATAAATCAATCATTTGCTAGTATGCAGAGTTAGCTCAGGAAAAAATCAAAAGGTCACGATAGAGCTTACCTGTAATAACGATCATCGATGCCATGCATAAGACTCAGCAAATGCAAAATCTCGAGAAAGTCCATCACTCGGTTCGTCATGCTTCTGGTGGCGATCCAAAAGTCCGGCACACACCTACCACCGCTTTCTTTCCAGCCGGTCAGCTTCCGCTCATCCGCGAGTTGATACTTGTCTTGAACCCTCTCATGCCTGAGTCTGCACTTATCGCAAGGTACGTCCTTGCCAGACTCGTCCGAGAGTAGGACTGAGTTCTTGGTCTCTTCTGATGCTGCAAGCAACATCACTTCAGCAGGTACGCTTGCTTTATGCTTGAGTGCTTCCATTATCTTTGCCCATTCTTCCAGCTCGAGATTGACAGCAGACTTGCAAGTCTGTTCGACCACCTCGATCTCGGCTTCTCCTTCTCCTTCTCCTTCTTCGCCCTTCGAAACAGGGTGAGTCTCGCCAAACCAGCTGGGCACTTCATTCGTCTCGCCGTTTTGCGCTACCTTGAATGACTCTCAAAGTCCGACGGAAGTTTGACCGGTGGATTCCCCCTTCTCCATTTTGTGTCCTTCCTGATCTCCTTGATGTAAGCATCCTCAAATTTTTGACGCTCTCCGTCAATGGTCCAGGGTATCTTCTTGAAATTTTCGAACAAAACCATTTTAGGCTTTGCTTTATCAATGTGCTCGTAAATTGAGAAGGATGTATGTCCAGACTCGTCTCGTTGTTGAAGAGACTTGCGGCTGTTGTTCAGAGGTGAAAAGTCCTTGCAGACGAATCCAGCAACCAGAATATCCAGATCTGTCGAAATTTTGGCTTTGCTGCCAAACACAGGTGTCCTAGGAAATATTAGTAGGATTTTAGAAAACTAAAAGATCGCATGGCTCACGCTTCTTGACCCGTTTCCCGAATCCCCCTTGCAACCTCCGCCACATCTCTGAACAAGAGAAGTTCCGGTCAATTTTGTTGAATGTAAGCCTGCTTGAAAGGCTTGATCTCGACGCTCATGTAATGATCGAATTTGATCTCCTTGCCACTTTGCTTAAGCACTAGATCTGTCAGACATCCAGATTTGAACACGCACATTCTCATCAACTCACATTCACGGAAGAGCTCCAAGACTATGATTGGACACTTGGTGCCTGAGCACATCGTGCTGGTCCAAATCGGTCTGCCTTCCACCTGATTCAACGGGTCGTCGAGTCCTGTCTCATAATTTTTCTTGACCTTGTCCAACATGTGCTTGAAGATGCCCTTGATGGTCTCGATTGGCTCAAGTTCTGAAGCCCGCCTTTGCCTGCCTTTTGGGGGGTTGCTTGGCTTTGTCTACTTTTGCGCGAGGCTACCTTGGGCGTTTGGGTTCGATGCCATTCTGAACCTTTCCTCTGGCTCTTTTCACACCATTCATTAGAGATTCCTCCTCGTCGGAACCGTGTTTGTATACGCCGTCGTCGGACTCAAGTCCTTGCTGTGCTGGATAATATGTCTGTAGGGTTGTAGTGGACCTCTGGCTCCGTCGGCGCCCCGTCCCTGGCTCCATTTCCCGTGATTTAAACCCCTAAGGTCAGTTCAACACTCACACAAAACCTGGAGATTGAATCCTACCAATCGTTTTCCATCCAAGATTAACGTGAGTTGTCTGAATGCTCTGATGAATGTGGTGCCCAAAAATGGAGGTCGGGAGCCTCATAATATACATCTCAGCACAAAGATTCTCAATTCCCTGCTGCTTGCCAGATTCCACAAAGAGATGCAGACTTACACCTTGTTCAGGCCATCCACCGCCTACCCGAATGTTCATCCCTCCTGTTTGGATACGTAAAGTTGACATAGATGTTGACGGCACTTGCCATACTTCCAATGCAAGACAAAACAAAACAGAATAAAATGGTCTTTGAGCAATGATATCAGGAAGTTGTCAAGGAATACCTTTGACGGCAGCCTGCAGGTTCTATACTTCAGCCCTCTCAATACATCCACCTGCTTTTGTGACTCCTATCCTATCTGCTTGAATGTACAGAGCACAGATGAGCTTTGCTGGCATTTTCGATACTTCAAAGGCGGAACAAAAATGTGGGAAAAGAGGCTTTCAGTGAGTTGCCTTTAAAGGAAGGCAACTTGCAGGTTGATGCATATAGGGACGAAGAAAAAGAGATTGAAAGCAAGATCAAGCTATAGCAAGTCTCAAAAGCTCTTTACCATGCAGGGCAATGACTCCATGACGAAAGGCCTGCCTGAAGGATCAACTAAAATGAAGACTCCGATTCTGCAGTCCTCCTACCCCCATGTGAACTGCGGGGATGCAGGACAATGACACCGGCACCTTCTATACAAAGATTCTTTAGGCAGCACACTTGACACTACGCTCCGGAGATCAGAAATAAAGACAATGAAATCAACATCCTTTCTCTCCGCATCTCAGTGCTTCTACTAACCGAGAACAATGAGAAGCACATCACCACATCCAAGACACCTCATTTCAGGGGGCGCCGACATCTCAACAAACTCCAACTTCAAAGGAGGGACAATGACATCAAACCTCTTTCTGGGCAGAAAAAGAGGACGAGAAAGCGTCTGAAAGTAATCTTACTTACTTTCTTCAAGACAAAGGTGAGTCAGAAATGGAAACTTCCACCCAACTCTAAAGTTAACATCTCAATCACGAGGCACAGTTGGGAAGAATGTAAACAAATTCCATTCGACTCAAGGTGAAGACTTCGCAAAGCCAATCAAACCCAGCTGCTTTCTCGAGCTCCCGTACACAAAACCAAACCATATCGGAGAAACCAAAACGCCAGCCTGAGTCCCGGATCCACCCTTCCTTCCTTCCTTTCCATTTAGCCAAGGTTCATCTCATTGAACTGCATATATATTAGCAGGGATGCAAATCCAATTTGAGGGATAATGAAGAATGAGGATAGAAGTAGGCTAGAAATTCAGACTCACCCGCTCACCCGCCCCCCTCAACTCCTCAAAAGCATCAAGAACATCAAAGCCCATACCCAGCAACGTATCTCTCTCCTCCCCCGCCACCCAACAAAGCACACACGCACCCGCCTTGTGCGCCTTATTCTGCCTGATCCCCAGTAGTGCCAGACCCTGAAGCACAATAGCAGCCTGCGGCGTATTCTGCACAACTGGTGCTAAGATACCGCCTATCCCACCACTCCCCCCGGAGCCGTTGGAAGTGGCAGAAAGAGATTTCAGCACGGGGACATATGTCGATAAAGAGGATTCCGGACGCGTGATGATGACCGTGCCGACGAGACTCCCATCCACAGGACTTTTCGCCCTTACAACGCCGCAACTCTTCTCATCTGCGAGGGCGAGATTATAGAGTGCTAACACTTCCGGACCAGAGTGTGTAGATACGTGTTCCAGGACAGAAGCAGCGTTCTCGCGGCCGTGGATAAGGTCGAATGCGAATGAGACCCGCTGGATATTGGCTAGTAGGCCCTCTGGTGGCGCCCAATGTGATAAGTTCCGGATGGATAGGGTGTAGAGGAGACGAGGAGACGAGATGTCCCAGCCATTGGCTGCGAACCATCTTTTGAGTCTTGCGCCTTCTGTGAGATCACTCATCGGAATCCCCAGGAAAATGTTTGGCAGGGAAGAACCGAGTTGCAGGGCTGTGATTTTCATGTTGGGATATTTTGGGTTTGGGGATAGGAGGCCTCGGACAGCGCGCTGGTGGAGCGAGTGTCCGATGGATAGGTTGCGTTTTGAGGGGTCGACGAAGAGGGCAGAGATTAGGGCGAGCGAGCGCGCGGGGTATGTGTAGGTTGCGCAGAAGCCGAAGAGGGCTTGTGTGCTGGAGTTGCGGACTACGTAGTGGGCTTCTTCGATTGGTTCAGCAAGGTCGGGGATTCCGACCTGAAAAATTGTAATTAGTTTGGGGCTCGGATGAGTTTGGAAAGGGGGTTGGGAGGGGACTTACGAGCTCGAAGGAAGCAGCTGAAGCGCCAGAGAGTCCGGATTGCGTCCCTGGTGGTGAAGTCTTCTCGATGGTTTTTATCAGGGCTTGCAGTCCTCTGTGATCGCGGTCCCGGTTCCAGGACTCGACTAGCCAGTGTTGTCTTGACTTTTGTACTTTTCTGCTCTTTCTCAGTGTACCTGGCAATGTTCCTTGAGGAACGAACTCGCCAAACAGGGCTCGCACTAATGCGCTCATTGCTGTTTCCGTGAAATCGAAAGTGCAGACGTATGTCCCTATCGACTTGTCCATTGCGAAATCGTAAGGGGAACTGACTGATACGACGATGAGAGACTTCTTCTTTCCACCTGCGCTGAGCATGGAGCACATCATTGCCACATGCTTCGTGAATCCATTTTGGTACAGATTTCTGTTTGCATCTGCGGTGATGATGATGATTGCTGCTGCTCTATTGATTAAGTTCTCGTGTACTGGACGCACTCCATTGGCTGTGTAAGAGGTATGCAGCAATTTGCCATGCCGTTGCCTTGCAAGTGATCTTCCAAGCTCTCTGAAAACACCCTCCCCACTCATTATCGATGATCTGTGCAGCCATTTGTCGTGATCTGTTGACACAGACCTCGCAGTTTCGGCGAGAGTCTTTGTCGCTGCAGAAGCTGGCAATGGTTTCACGAGTGGTGTGAGAAGTAGCAATTCGTCGTCTGGGTATAGGGTGTTGGAAAGCGGAAGAAGATGTCCTTTGTCCCTCATAATCGTGATAGAACTGTCATACGCTCTTGTTGAGAGCGCAAGATGGCTTGGGTGGATTGTGGAAAGTAGACTGATTCCTGGTGGTTTCAAAGCTTCGTGCCAATTCGTGCATTTCGACTTCAGTTGAAGTACACGCTTGAGAGAGATCATGATCCGGTCTCTTGAGATCATATCGTTCTCAACTCCAAGCTTCAATCCAGAGATGGCTTCTTGCTGGACTGCAAATGACCGACAGAGAAGTACGAGATCACATCCAGCTTCAACTGCCATCACTGTGCCGCCTCGAACACCAATGTCATGGCTCAAGGCGTCCATTTCGAGACATTCTGAGATAGTAACTCCGTTGAAGCCAAGATCATTTCTCAGCAGCTCATCCACGACTTGGTCGCTGAGGCAAGCATGCATGACATTCATACCTGAGATCATCAACAGCTGGACAAACAGAATGGGCGGCGATACATACTCGCATTGGCCATAGCACATCCGCCAACCATCATAGCATCCAGGCCGTCTCGGATAGCATTTCGAAACGGAACAAGAGCACTCAAACTCAGCTGTTCAATGGTTTCAGTGATAATTGGCATATCCAGAGAGGATCCCAAGAAGTCCAAGTTGCCATATGAAGGGAAATGCTTCCCGCAAGTCGTAAGCCCAGCATCCTTGTACCCATTCATAGCCGCAATTCCATATTGTGATACCTCTTGAGGATCATCTCCAGTTGCTCTTACTCCCAATGGTTGATATCGAGCATTTGTCAACACATCCAGAACTGGTCCCATGATCATGTTGACTCCAACTGCGGAGACCTCCTTTGCGGTAGCATTCGCAACTTCATAGGCCAGTTCCAGAGACCCAGTTGCTGCAGTTCCCATGGCACTGGGAAATTGACAGATATAGTCCTCATCAAAGAGACTGTTGACACCGCCATTTTCTTGATCCACAGCAATGAGAAGTGGCACGGGATGACCGGCTTGATGGGCGATCGTTTGCAGCTCTTGGACCAGTCTGGCTGTATCCTGGGCAGCTGCGAAGGTCAGTACTTGTTGAGAGAGAGAACTAAATAAACACGGCAAATGATGAATCAGATAAACCAAGGGATATCGGATGAGAAGGTAGTTCGGCCTCGGAAACGTGACTTGACGCCCCCGAATAACATAAGTCTCAAGCCACGAAATGCCTCAGACTACGCAAAGAAATTCCATGTACTTTTCAAGTTCTTGGTAGTCAACAAAATAGCCCCTAAATGGTGATCCTCAATCAGGGTGCGTATCTGAGGCGTGACCTCCGTCCCCTCCCACCCCATAAAGAAGAGCTGGCCCATCGCCCTTCACAAGTCAGCACACCTCACCACCAGCACTCACTCACGGGAAATCCTCAGCTCACCAATCGAGATCCTGCCACAGCGGGTCCAGCTCATCTCCATCCTGGGCCTCCATCTTCACCGTGACCTGTCGCCCGTCGGACGCCGTGACGGAGGATCTGACGTTGAACCGTGATCGACTCGACTCTCGGGTTTATGGCGGGGTGTATACAACGTCGCTCCTCTTCAGACTGGCGGTCTCAGCACACACGTGCATCATATGTTTCGGTGGGCGATGCAACGTGTATTTGGGCGCGGACATGCGTCGTCTCAAGAACCTCACAGACTGTGTAACGGCAAAGGGGCGCTCTACTACACCGCGGCTTCGAGCTGGATTTCTTCTAGAAGCTTTCTGTGGACAAAGGTCCGGCATGATCACGTGAACAGGCCCATTTCGGCCAGTGTTCCCGACCCCTGTCCACCTGTCGGTTCAATTCCCAGCACCACCCTCTCTCACGCATACGGCCTTCCAAACATCACGGCTGCTCCATCGATCACTCATCCCAAGGAAAGCGATTTTCATTTTTCGCATTCCCTTTTGTTTGCAACTGTGCCTTGCGGCCCGTTGATTTTTGCGTGCTCACCCTCACTTGCTTGATTTGCTCAGATTCCCTATCTCGCCTGGCGAACTCGGCGTTTGCTGATCACTCGGATGAGACGTTACATCTCATCTTCCTCCATCAACGATTTGGCTGGCCACCACGGTACCGTGCCTACCATTCAGCATCGCCATCGGCCTCCACTTTTGCGGCTGGCCTAGCGGTAAGCCGTCATTCTTGACCGTCGACGCTTAGCTTGTGAGTGATATCTAAGGCGCCTTTCGAGCCCCGAGAAGCTTCCTGTCATGCATTATGTAGACTCTCAAGGTAAATCGTGGTGGAACGCCACAACCACAACATTTCATACTCACAATCTCTTCTTTTCCGTTTCCTCATCTCAGAAGCCAAGATGCCTTCTGCAGTCCCTACCCGCAAAGATAGAATCACAAAATTCACAAACTGCAGACTGGTGATCGGGAATGAGTTGGTGGAGCAAGATCTGTGGGTGAGCTCGGCGACTGGCAAGATTGTGCGGAGTCAACAGGTGTTCTATGGCGAGAACGTGGTGCCAGACATCACGATCGATTTGAGAGGGAAGATCGTCGCGCCGGGCTTGATTGATGTCCAGCTCAATGGAGCGTTTGGGTTCAATTTCAGCCAGATACCGGAGGATCCGTCCACGTATGGGAAGACGCTGAGGCAGGTGAACAAGCGTTTGATACAGACCGGAGTCACGTCCTACCTGCCAACACTCACGTCGGAAAAGATTGAAGTATATCATCAGGTCGGCCACCTCTCTCAAACCAGAATCAAAATCAAAGGTTTAATGGAAATGAATAGGCACTCCCCTTCCTGGGTCCCTCGGGCACACACCGCATCGCAGAAGACGGATCCGAATCCCTCGGCGCTCACGTCGAAGGGCCTTTCATCAACCCCACCAAAAACGGAATCCACAAAGTAGGCAACATCATCCCCGCCCACAGCATTACCGACCTAGAAACCTGCTACCTCTCCTCCCACCTAAACCCCACCCTCGACCCCCTCACTGGTACCCTTCGTCCCCCCATCATCAAGAAAATCACTGCCGCGCCAGAAGTCGCAAACATGATGAGCCTGATCCCAGAGATCACATCTAGAGGAATAATCTACTCTATTGGACACACAGAAGCCACCTACGAAGAAGCCTCTCTCGCCGTCGCCTCGGGCGCAACCATGATAACGCACCTCTTCAACGCCATGCGTCCCCTGCACCACCGCAACCCCGGCGTCTTCGGCGTCCTGGGGCTCGCTGAGTCTCTTCCCCGTCCCTATTTCGGGATCATAGCAGACGGCATCCATCTCCACCCCACCAGTATAAAAATCGCGTTCAACGCGCACCCTGAAGGTTTCATACTGGTGACTGATGCGATGCATCTCGTTGGGCTGGAGGATGGGGTGTATGAGTGGACGAACGGGGAGAGAATCATCAAGGTTGGGGCGAAATTGATTTTAGAAGGCACGGTGGATAAGATTGCTGGGAGCAGTATCACTTTGATTGAGTGTGTGACGAACTTTTTGAATTGGGGAGGCGTCAGTATCCCAGCTGCGTTGAAGGCGGTTACGAGTACGCCGGCTGCGATGCTCGGCATGTCGGCGGTGAAGGGCAATTTGGTCAGTGATGCGGATGCGGATTTGGTTGTTATTGAGGAGGAGCATGATGCAAATGGATGGCGGAATCTGAGGATTGATCAAGTGTGGAAGTTTGGGACGAAGGTGTGGGATAGGGAATTGTAGATGAGAAGAGAGAACCTTCAGAGGTCGATTGCAGATGCATGTATCAGGCGTTCAGTGTTTACCTTCAAGAGATTTTCGGGATCAAGATTGTGCATCTTTGACCCACAGTGGAAGTTAGAAAGATTTCCCCGTACATAAGCACCAAATAAAGCCAATGACAATGTGTATATATTCCTGGGTTGCAGGTGTCATTGTGTCCCTGCCCCTTCCCATCATCACGTGCTTCACTCACAACCTTGAGCGATTCTTCCTAGTCATCTCAGACACTCCTCCTCCAAGCAAATGCAGTCCCTTTCTTCTGCATCTCTAGAGCGGAATACCAGAACTTCTCACTTCACAATTCTCAAATCTTATTCATCAATTTCGCTGATTCCGCTCTTGTCAGGTAGGTTGATTATCAAAAGGGAACGGCAATGCTGAATACCAAACAAACACTCAAATAAAAACCCTCCAAAACAAGCTCAACATCTAAGCCCTCCCCCTCCCGACACTTTTATTCACTCCACATCCAACTTGAGACTTTTGTTGCAGATCGACAATCTCATACCCCAAACCCTTCTCTCATAACTCAATCCTCTTCTCACCAGTTCCCATTATGAGAATCGCGACATCCAACAAAATGATGAGAGGGAGAGAGAAGCTGCATATGCACCCCTACCTCTCGACCTCTCATAACTCTACTGCAGATCGACAATTCCCATTATCAGATATCGATGAATTCTCATTATAAAGCATGAGAATCGCGACCTGCAACGAAAACAAAAATTTCCAAGGGTACAATTCACCCGACAAAGGTCTTCACCACCTTGAACGGCGTTCCAACATAGCGAAACTTTTGGAACACTGACATTGGACATATTGGAATGAGAGCAGACTTCTTTCCCAATGCTGTGCTCGAGAGTGATCTCGGGGTCAGCGCTGAGCTCGATATTCCAATGAATCCCCCAGAACCCTTGCAACACTCGCAACAGGCTTACAACAGTCAAGAACATAATCGAGAAGTTTTCGACGGGCTGGGTTACACGCCCCCCCCCCCCCCCTTTTTTTTTTCCCAGTCGAGGCCCCAGACAACAGGACAAGAATCTCCTATGAAAAATCGATAGATGAGATATTAAGTGTATTCCACGACATCTTGCAGACATCTCGAAGCGCTCTCATACCTCCCCGCTCACTCCGCCCAACTTCCCAGCGTACTACACTCGCAACCCGAAAAACAGCGATAGATAACAACCATATTCGAAGTTAGCATTCAATTGGCCAGCGAACCCGCTGTATTCGATTCGATTCAATCCGATTCGCTATCGCCTCACTGAATTCTTCGAAAACGGGCCAAGCCACCCAGCGAGCGCGGTGGATGGGCACGTGGAGTGAATAACCCATGCAAGCATCAGAAGGCAATGGTGGAGGCGAGAGCGAGACGAGTTGGAGGCAGAAAAGTAAACAAGCGTAGATGTGTTTAAATGCAAGCATAACATTGAACGGAAACGAGGAGTCGTTTCGAGTGAATATGGAGGAGTGTGTGGTAGGCACGAGGATAAGAGTTGCGGGAACGGAAGGAGAGTAACCGTATAGCAAGGTATCTGATTTTTGCTTTAGCCGTCTACTTTTAGTAGTGCGGGGCCAGAGCAGGGAGTATTGACGAGCTAGCTCAAAATGTTGCGAAAGTCAGAGAGTGTGAGCGGGCGAACAAGTAGGCTGTTTGTGAAATGTCATTCCAGATCATAATATAGCAGTACAATGCCGGACCTTCCCTATATGCAAGCGAGTTAAATGCTCAAGCCGGCGAAATAAAGATCCTGTAACCACAATGCTCTTCCTCGTCCGTTCTCTTTTCAAGTGGGTATCATTCGGTCATCCATTCCACCACTTCTCCCGCATGGCTCTGGTATATTTAGGGGACTTGCCTCTTTCCCAATCCTTGATTCTTCTCCACCGGCTGTGGCGGACCAGGAGACGTCCAGCTAAGTCCTCTCACTTCTCACCCATCGATTTGGTTCGTCTTCGTTCTCGGCGATGTTGGTCTTGTGATGACCCCAAGCGCAAGGACACCAGAAGCCCATTCCTCACTTCAATCCCCGGATACGATCCGCTTTTAATCGTCTGCAGAGAAGTATCTCTTCGTCTTATTCTTCAATTGCGTTGCCTTGAGCTCCGGAGGTACAATCGTATGATGCACAACATGAGGTCGATAAATCGCATCAACAGGAGGCATCCTAATATCGTTAGCCTTCTTCCTCCCATTCTGTACCCCTTTCAATTTCTCCAAGGCCCAAAGCCTCCAGGGAAAAGGGCAGAAAACTCACCAATCATCCAAGCTCAACGGAAAATACTCATACAACAAGTCCGCACTCTCCGGGCTCCCCACGCCCACAACCTGCCCCTTCTTCCCCACCATCCCCGCCTTCTCGAGCACAGGACTAATGTCCCCACCCACTCTCCCAAATGCCGGATGGGCCTTGCCGATCCCATACTCATCATCTGCGAGACTCAGGTCAATGGGTGCAGTTGCTTCCGTAACAGCTTTGCTGGCCGACGTCTCTAAGGAGTTCCACCGTGTTTGCGGGACCGGAGGACGTGTGGATGGGAAAGAGGTTTGGTGGGAGAGGGTGGGTTTCTTGGCTTGGCGGGGGAGACTGTTGTCCGAGGAGGACGAGGTGAGGGAGGGCGAGGGGAGGGGGTTGATGTTATTACTGTTGTTCCAGTCGGGGAGGTCGAGGGGTTGCTGCTTTCATCAATTGCTGTCTCAGAAAAAGTAAAGGGGGGAAAGGAGACATACCTGTAATTGATTCAGGGCATAGAATCTGTAATTGCTATTCGTGACCCCTGGATCAACCTTCACTTGCGGAGCCGTATTATTTGAATCACTCATCGTCCTCGGCTTCGACTCCAGTTTTCTCTCGCTGAGCGGGACGTCTTTCCTGCTGTCGAAATTCCTCGGACTTCTTCCCCGCACAATGATCGGTCCACTCTGGATCTCTGCCAGCTTCACAGTCTCTCCCGTAGCAAGGGTTGCCATCAGATTGATCTGAATAACATAATGTTGCTGCAGACCCTTTCTCCGTCCATTGTTAGCGGTCGCGTGCTTAAACTGAAGCCGCTTCCACGCAATGGGTATCGAGACACAGGTAGGGTCGAGCTCGGGGTTCATGCTGAGATCCAAAGGCCATTTCGGCGGTGCAGCTCCAGCTTTATCCTCGCTGCTCGTCACAGTCGAGGTCTTCCACGGCACGGAAATAATCTCCGTGCTCTTGCCCTCAATGCTCTCCAGCGCAGAAATCGTCGCAATCAAATCGTATAACGGGACCTGTTGTCCCTGCTCATTAATCATGCTCTTGATTCCTCTACTAAGCGTCACCGTCCCGCTGATCTGGAAGAGATTCCTTCGGTAGCAAGTCAATTCCATCGGCCTGTTGCCACCGGTATTGTTGTCGCCAAACACATCTTCGGCGACGAAGAACATGCCGTACAGCTCGGCGGACATAGCTGGCCATGTCTGACCCGCATCATCCAGAGTCGGTGCCTTGAGAATCGGCGCGCCGAAACCAAGCAGTTTATTGTCGAGATCTTGGGCATTGGTATTGGCATCCGCATTGTTATTGGAATTCGATTCGTCGAGGAGAGATTCATACGGTGCAGATTGGTATGAAAACGGGTCTTCGAAGGTGCTCGAGAAGGCGTCGCCGAACTCGTAGGAGGGCGTGAAGGGCAGTGGAGGCAGCCCGCTATTGTGCACGTCGTCTCTGTTCGGGATCTTGTCAGCACTGTGTTACTCGAGGCGAAGATCGTGGCTTCATAATTGCAGATTTAAACAGAGGGTAAAAGAGTCGTACAATAAGCCATCCCCCTCGAAGTTCAGGTCGTGGTCGAATGCATCCATGCTGCCGAGCATCTCGCGGCCGTTGTCCGGGCCGCTCAGTCGCAAGATGTCGTCCGAAGTCGAGGCGGTCATAATCAAGCTCCCGGCATCATAACCAGCCATCGTCGCTCCAGCAGCTCGACTGGCGCTGTGGTTCCTGAGACTGGCGGGGTGGTGAGGCGTGCTTTGGCGCTGGGAAGAGTGAATCATCGGATGGAGATGCCGTCGTGCGCATTATCGTTGTCTCATCGGGGGCGGGTGTCTATCTCTGATGTGGATGCGGAGAAGATGGGGTCGGTGGCTCAGTGGAGAAACCTTCCCGCTGATATTGGATATGGGGAAGGAGAATGCTCGTGGCTGCCGTATGGATCAAGTCTGGAGGAGAAGTCGAACGTTCGCGGTCAGGTTGTTCGATGCAAAGAAAGGGGAGAGCCGGGGCGTGCACCGTTAGGTTAAGGTTGCCGTTGGCTGGCGGGCTGGTGGGTACAGCACGGAGTATGGCTGTGGGAAAATGACAGAAGCGTGGATGCCGTGCGTGCGATGGCGTTCGGCGCTGGCTGGGGCCGTGAAGTGGTAGTGTGGCACTGGAGTGTGTGGCCAATTGGTGCCAATTGGCGCTGCTACCACGCTTTGCGCCGGCCTGCTCGCCTTCTGTGCTGCTTCGACGGGGCTTCCGCACTGTGCCAATAAACTACTGGTACCACACTACAGTATGGTGGTTATCTCTGCCCCAGCCTTATCTCGACCTCGACCTCCGCTGCATTTCAATTGCTCAACCAGCGCCCCCCCACAGCGGCCCACACCGATCGGGAAGGACTTAAGATATTCCATTCCTTTCCTCTCGGTAGCATGATATTAATTAACTTGTATCCTCAGTGCACTTTTGTATCGTTCATCCAGTCGCGAAGCTATCTCCAGACTGGCCATTGCGCCTCGGTCGTACTTCTCGAGTGAGAAAGAGAGCTTGCTGGGCTTGCTAGCTTCCATTCCCCCGCATTTGTCTCACGGGCCAATGGCACCCCGAGCCAATGCGGCCCTAATTCGACGGAAAAGAAAAAGGGGAAGGACCATCCACACTCCAGCTCTCCTTTTTACTTTCTTTCTCTTGCTGGTACAATAGAAACAAGGAGACGATAGCATGAAGTTTGGTCTATGAAGCTTTTTGCAGGAGAGAAGAGGCACAGTTGTTGAACTTGCATGTGTAACGATAAGGCAACATGTGCGAGCACGTGAGCATTCGTGGAAAGGGGAAAGGTTGTTTCCCCGTTGTCTGTCCTCTGATGGCCATTTTATGGAGGGAGTTTATTCACTATTTACTGTTTGCAGGCGAGAGGAGGCACAGTTGGGCTTCAGCAAGCATATCAAGAAGCACTGAGCGAGCACGTGAGGATTCGATTAGTGAGACCGGGAGAGGGAATCCACGACTGCGAGCCAAGTTAGTTACAAATCTTCTATTACGGCCTAGAACTAATACTATAAAGTTAGAATCTTTGATCAAACCTCTCCTAGCTTCTACTGGAACGTGCGGAGAGCTAGAGCTCTCTAGGAGTTGTTCATGGATTTCCTCAATGATCAAGTTGACACCGTCCTCTCACCTTACTTCTGCTATACATATAAAGTCATAGGCGAACGTTGAAACTTTTACGAGAAGCGAGAAGAGGCACAGATGAGTCCTACTGTTGAACCAGGAGCTTCTGCCGAGCACGTGATATCGTAAATGACCATTGAGAGCGAGTCAGTAGCCCGGCATCTGCTGCTGAAGGAAGTTGTAGAGCAGGGATAATACCCACCATCGGATGGCAACTGACCCTGTTCATGCATCTGCGCAAGCAACACCTCTTCGAGCATGCGACAGCGTCGGACCGTCCCGTCTAAGCCCCCGAGAGCTGCGCATGAACCCTGAGCACCGGAACCTACCCGGACCTCGAGCGTTCTAGCAGCCATAAGATATGGCTATAAGACTTACCTTCTGCTACAACAGATACGTTGCAAGAAGGCTGTTAGATCCAAGCGAAGAGGCACAATTGGACATCTAACTGTGGTAAGCGAACCTTTGAGAGGAACAAGTAAGGGGAAGTCCACATTTCCTACCTTTCTATCTCCTTCTAGATTTTAGTAGGCTACTATTAGGTCTTTCAACCAAGATCCTATTGGGAATCTACTATTGTTTGTTTGTACCAGCTTCGCTTAGCGAAGGAGCCATTTCATAGCAGATGAGGTGTGGAAACCCTTGATATCTCATAGAGGGGGCAGGTCTAGAACGAGCTCCTTCGAACAACCTCTCTCCTCTTCTCAGATTCCCACTCTGCAATAGTGAAAAGTCTTCTAAGGCGAGAAGAGGCAGTGCGGGGCACAGCATGTTTCTTAAACGAAAAAGAATCGACCAGGAAAGAGTGAAGCGCGTTGAGAGCCGATGGAGAAGCGGAAGGTTCCGTTGCCCAGCCATTCTCCTGCCCTGTTCCATTACCAGCACTTCGTTGAAGCGTTCTTAACATTCTCGATGTGTGTTTTGCTCACGGTGGTTCCCACGTACCGATCCCCGAAAAGGGGCACGGCTCGCAGCGAGTTAAGCGAGCACGTGGATGGAAAGGGGAAGGTCCCTTTGCTGACTTCTCGATACTATTCCGCTTCCTACTCTCATTACACAGCCGCATACCAGCATCGAATACTTATGTATACAGCCGCGCTCCTGTGTCCCCATGCTTTCTCGGACCGGATTCCGCTGGGCAAGCAGCAGCCCCAGCCGCAGCGTGGTGAGCAGATGAGGTATCGAAAAGGCATATCGGAAGGTAGCTCCAACTCTCTTGCGCCCTTCTCGCGTCCATCCCATTCCCTGTCCCACTACCAATACAAAACATTTCTCAAGCCATGACCAATGCGTGTTAGGCGAAAGCGGACCGAGGCTGCGGCTCACAACACTTGAGAAATCCAAAGGTAATCAATGACGTAGGGGAAGTTCCCGTTCCAACTCTTCAGATCCCGCAAAAGCCGCCCTATGCAGGCAATTGCGGTGCCATTGCGGTGGATCCTCGACTCCGGTTCCGAGTAGCCAGATGCAAGCGACGTGCTAGGAGTACGAGGAGGCTTGAGCAATGAAAATAATAATAAAAGGGAAAGGTAGCTCTTCTAGCGTTCTTTTTATTGCTACCATAGACTTATGGAATGGTCGCGATACCACTATTGTTTGTACTGTACACAGTTTCTGCATGACGACAAGGGAATGGCTTCTTAACTTCGGCTTGTCCGTTCCTCATGTGGCTGTAACTGAAGAAGAATCCCGATCGAGCGCTGAGGGGAACCTCCTTCCACATACAGGAGTGCAAGTAGACGACACTTGAAGTCTACCTACCAAGCAGGTGGGACCCACCCCATCACACCCCACGTGACAATCACTCAGGAATCACTCTATACATCGAAAAGTTAAACCATGTCTCATTAAAAATAGTAGTCCAAGTTTTATCATGCCATGCTCCAATCAAACACCAATGATGCTGCCCCGCTCATGAACCCTCTTGTATCCAACTCAACTCACCCCACCAACCAATTCTACCATGCAACCCCCTCCAACCTCCCCGTCACCACATCATCAACATCCAGCGCCGCCACGGCCCCAGCCACCGCAGCACCGAGCAGCGAACTCTCCTCCGCATATATGAGTTCCACAACCCCTCTCCTCCCCCCACTCCCCTCAACCAACTGATCCAAGAAACCTTGACAGTTGCTCTTAAAGTTCGGATAGTTCTCTAGCACAGAACCGTTATACGCAACAAGCGTGTGCTCCGTCTGGTGCGCGGCGATAGACTCCGATTCATTGCGAAGGCACCATAGAGCATGCACGCCCGTGGCGACGAGCGCTGAAGCGCGGGTGGAGACGAGGGAGGCTATGGTGCGGACGGCTTGGATGTCTGAGAGACTGGGTGGAGAGGAGGAGGGACGGGGGTGGCGGGAAGTGAAGATGGCTGTTGCTTTCGAGAGGTTCTCGCTGCGGTCACTGGTGACGTTGTCAGTACTTACTCATTGAGTTGAAGCGGGGTCGTTCAAGCTCACCTCTCCATATAGCTGATGGTCTCGGTTTCCAAGGAGTAGCTCTCTCTTAGGGTGGGAGGCACCACACCACCGAACAATCCTGCGGTGTGAATCCCGTCAACCAACACCAACCTGACAATCTCACCCAGATACCCACCGCTGACGAAATGCTCCAGCGGCTGGAATGTCGGGTTCGGGTGAACAGATCGGAGCTCATTGTCCCAGATGGTTGAAGGTAAGATCCCCGCCCCAAACATCGACAGCTCGGTGTTAACAATAACATGTTCAGCGCACCTATGCCACTCCTCTGGCCTCGTCCCGAATTTTGGTGGCGCAAAGGTGTGCACGGGGAGATGGATGGCGGCGTTGACGCCGGTGCCGAGGATGAGCGCGAAGCGGGTCGTGGGGTCGGAGTACGCCTTTGAGAGGAGCGTGGCGGAGGAGTCGTTGACGATGGCGTTTAGGTGGACGTTCAGGCCGCGATGGGAGCAGGAGGCTTGGATCAGGTCGCCTAGATCATGGCCGAGTAGGCCGTCAGCGGCGAGGAAAAATTTGCCCATTCCTTGGAGAAGGCCGCTGCGGAGGGATGTTTGTCTGGGAAAGGTTCGGTCAGCTGACTTGATCGTTTTGGGGAGGAAGGGGGTGGGACTTACTCGATGGGAAATGACCATGCTAATCCCATGGACAGAGGCGCATCACTCATATCATGCCCTCCAGTGTGTCCCGACAGCGTCTCCTCAATCCTCTCCGCCATCCAGTCGAAAAACAAAACTCCTTTCAGTTGCTTGACGCCATGATTGATCTTGAAGGTCGCCCCCTTCAGGATCCGACCTTCCTGTCCTGCTCCCGCATCCCTCCCCGAAAGTTCAATCAACGCAACCCTGAACGTGGAGCCGCCTACATCCAGGGCGAGAAAGGTACCGCGCTCGTCTCCGCTCGGAAGTTGGTGGTTGTACGACGGGAGCATACACAGCGGGTTATCCTCCATGCTCTCCAGAAACTGCTTCCTCAGCCCCTCTGACAATTCTCCTAATCTCTTTCTGCTACTCGCTGGTCTGAACGCCTGCTCTACCATCTCCAAAAAATCGTCTCTTCCAGTTTTTCTCCCATTTCTTAAGGAGGTCGTAGCCCCGCCATTTGTACTAGCTTCAACATTTTCACCCTTTATAATCGACGGCGATATCCAGATGTTCAGAATGGTTTGCAGGAGGGACTTGGTCCTCAGCAAGCTCCGGATGATAGCAGCAAAGAAGGCCTGCCGTACCTTGGACATTGCAGCAATGAACGGCTGCATGACATCGAGCGTTGATACATATAGAAGATATGTGGTCGGCGGCCACACTACGCGGCCCGATTTGCAAATTGCAAAGGCTAGGATGGCGGTAGTGTCGATCGCGGTCTTTGTCAACGGTAGTAGCAAGTGCGTGATGTTCTCTACATATTATGTTTCAATGGTAGCTAGGAGGAAATAGTTGGCTGGTTGTTTGCTAGTGTTTGATTGAGGGGGCCTGGATTGGTGACTTTTTGCTTGTTTCGTAAAGGCGAAAAGTCTGACGGCGGCGGCAGGGAAACAGACGAACGAAAACGGACCCGAGGACCACCTAAGGAGGGAAGGTAGATGCCGGGGCGGGATGAAACTTGTATGTGAGGTGTGGAGTCGGCCTTGTCTGTCGTTTGCTGGACGGAGTAGCGGAGAAGGCCAGGTAACGTGCACAAGGAGGATATGGTAGGTACAGTAGTGTTGAGGATCCCAGGCCAGACTCTCGGATTTGATTGAACACGAATAAGGAATCTTATTGCGCCATCCAGAGTCCAGCGAGTGTCATAGGATGAGAGGACTCAAATTTACGGCCACTGCATACTTGCTCTGAGCGAAGGTAACATAACCATGGCCAGTTCTTCTCATGTAGAGAATGAAAATCTACCCTCTGAGCGAAACGAGTGACGGTAATGACTGAGGCGATTGCCGTGTTGATCTGAGACAACAGAGATGGCGCATGTCAAAGTGACCATTTGGGAATTACGGGCTCGTCATTTTCGGGGGCCTTCAGTGGCCGGCGAGATGCCAACTCAGTGCGCCGGTGGCCAAACATGGCAAACGGTGGGCAGCGTATAGAGTTTGGCAAAGGGCCTTTGCAGCTGGTGTAGCGCGCCATCAAGCCCCTGAGCGGTCGGCGGTTGTGACCGCAGTACCTTGGGGGGTTGTCGTAAGTAGATGGACGGTAAGGTGGGAGTGCGCTGGATGGAACCAGAGGCCCAATCATCCAAGATTCCCAATATGGCGCTGGGAAGGGCTGCTGGCTGGGGTTGGGGTTGGGGATGGGCAAAGGCAAAGGCAAAGGGACGAGCAACGTTACGTTACTGTTCTGTGTCGTCGCGTAGCTTAGCGGGCTCCACACTTCACATCCCTGAGTCTTCTCCCGCAAGGCGAAAAGTTCTGCCGGGACCCGCCTGCCTTACGGAAGAGAGTGGCTGACCAGGCCCCCTTGCCCCTTGCCCCCTTGCTTATCTAAGTGTGAACATCACGTCGGAGAATTCCCCAACGACTCGCGGACGGTTCCCCGAACGCTTTCCCAACTTCACCGCAGACAAACCTCACTTTCGACCAATATCAGCGTGAGTTCGGTGCTGGCTTTCCACCACCACCACCACCACCACCACCATCACCTGGCAACTAGCCATTGCCAGCCGATCCTGCCCATTTGCCCCAAGCCGTCAGCCGTGGGCAGCTGAGGCGTGACAAGTTAGTTCTCCGACGCTTCCATGAGGCGTGAGGTAAGAATTGGGATTCGACAGTGACGTTCCATGGGCCTCCACCACGATGGAATAAGCTACCACCTATCCAATGGAGCAAGCCACACGTGCGTTAATCCTCTCCGGGATCGTCAACAATTTCTGTGAACCCTGATCGAGGTTGACTTTATTTTTATTTTACTCAATCTTCTCATTGCTCCTGTTTCTGCTCTCCCATATACATCTCCAGCCTGCAAAGGAGCACTCTACATTTCCCGTGAACTCTAGAACCACTAATAAGATACCCCTTCCGTACCAGCAACATGAGACTCATCATTCGAGACGATCCGGCTTCCGCCTCATCCTACATCGCAAACTACATCATCAGTAAGAATTCCACACCTCACTTCCCCACCATCTCTAACCCACTTAAAGACAGAATCAAAGCCTTCGCACCAACGCCTTCACATCCCTTCGTGCTCGGCCTGCCCACCGGTTCCAGCCCCGTCCTCATCTACAAAATCCTCGTCGAAAAGTTCAAAGCTGGCGAGATCTCCTTCGAAAATGTCGTTACCTTTAACATGGTACGTATCGTCCCCTCCTACCTGCCCCTCAAACACAACAGAAGATTAACATTACAATCTCCTTACAGGATGAATACATCGGTATCCCCCGCGAACACCCCGAATCCTACCACACATTCATGTACAAGCACTTCTTCTCACACGTCAACGTCCACCCAAAAAACATACACATCCTAAACGGCAACGCGCCCGACCTCGAAGCAGAATGCGTCGGCTACGAAGCCGCAATCAAAGCACACGGCGGCATCGACCTCTTCCTCGGGGGCATCGGCCCAGACGGCCACATCGCGTTCAACGAGCCCGGGTCCTCCCTCGCCTCGAGAACGAGAGTCAAGACCTTGGCTTATGATACGATAATTGCGAATAGCAGATTCTTCGACAATGATTTGGAAAAGGTGCCGAAGATGGCGCTGACGGTGGGCGTGCAGACAGTGCTGGAGGCGAGGGAGGTGGTGATTATTATTACCGGGGCGCACAAAGCACTGGCGCTGCAGAAGTGCATTGAGGGGGGAGTGAACCATATGTGGACTTTGTCCTCCCTTCAATTGCACCCACATCCCATGATCGTGGTAGACGAGGACGCGACGCTGGAGCTGCAAGTTAAGACCGTCAAGGTATTTCCCAGCGAGCATTCCCTTCCCTTTCGCGGCTAATAATCACCAAAGTATTTCAAATCCATCGAGAAGGTAGCCGCCTCCCAAGGGTTCGAGCAAATCTTGCCCTCTGCGATCCGCACTGGTCCTCGCCCACAGCAAAACCACGTCGATCCCACGCCGGAAGTGAAGGAGGAGCCGAGTATCCAGGCCCCGCAGCCTCTGACAAGCACGCTGCTTGCGGCGCCCGCGACAGAGTACCCGCTGAGAAGTCATAGCCCGGATTTGATTCCTGATCGGATGGGGGCGAGGATTGTTGCTTACTAAGGGGTGAGGGGAGGAAGGAAGTGGGAAGGCGCGCACCGAGGGGGAGGCGGGGCTCCATATATTGCACGCGTGAAAATGGGGATATTGGTCCAGTTGATTTAGCGTTTCCTTCTCTCTCGCCTGGTTGGTTAAAGATTGAGCAAAACAAACAAACAGAACTTCGCCTTGACTCCACGTCCATTGGAAGTTCTACCAAACCAACCCCCCGCCCCCCAACGTTACCGTCCAGCGACGAGGATAATCATCGCGATAGTCGGGGATGAAGATTGGAAGACTTGTGTGGCCTGTTTCTCGTCACAATTATGTTTCGCTCCTTCGCGGGCTCATTTTCCGCCTCCTTAGTTGACTATTTCAGATACCGTTCGTTCCCTCGATTTATCATATCTTTAGGTCTAACCCCTTCAAAAGTCCTTGCGCATTCCAGAGTATTCAAGTCCTCACTTCCGACTCTGTTTAGATGCCCAACATAATTGAGATTTCTGAACAAGTACCGCTTTTTTGCCCGTCGCGAGAGGGCTTTTGGCTGAGACAAGTTTGTGGGTGAATAGGGAGAAGGTGGAAGTTCTGATTCTCAGTCGTTTCTTCGGTTGTAGGTTTATGTTGGGGGCTTGGCCTCTAAAGCAGAGAAGAAGGAAAACGAGCTTCAGATTGGTTTTGACTTGTACGCGGACGAACAAAGAACAAGTGAACAAACCAACACATGTCCATCAGCATCCCTATTTCCCTGAAGTTGGGCAATCTCGCCATAATCTTGATCTGATCGCAACATCAAGGAACAGGGACAGCCTGGTACAATGGTAATTGAGAATTGAAACTAGTGCAAAAATAGTCCTTCATATTCTTGCTGCTGCGAGAAGTTGGGACCTGATAAGCCCATTAATATTGTTTTGTAGCTATCCTTACGAATCCGAGATGCATTCACTTTCCATACCTGAAAGGCCCTATGGGGTCTCTACGCAAGATATAGCCTCGTTTGACTGGACGTCTCCTCATTCTCTTAAGCCGAGGGATCCAAGCTTTAGTACAATTTTTAACTATAACGACTTATTAGTACTTCGAGACCTTCACGTTTGATACTTGGTATGCAGCTTGCATTACTAAAGTGTTGTATGCACTCGACCTAAGCAGAACCCCGAGGTAAGAAGTGGGAAAGATAGCGCGTACGGCCTTTCTCATGGATTTTATGATTCTCACTAGTCCAAAAAAACCGCGCGCAGAGTTTGCACTTTCGCATTTCTGGCTTTGCCCATGGTTGTCCGTATCTCCTTTCAGCAGATGCGAAATCTCGTCGATCGTCAAGGCGGAACCTGACATTTTGATAAATTGCGAATTTCTTTCTCTCATATCTTGCGAAATTCATTAGAGAGAGAGTTGACATCTAGGAGTCCGGATCTGGTATTAGCCGTAATCTCCTATGCTCTAGATCAAAGCTGTCTCGGTATGCCGGGCTTACAGTCACAACTATACTCATTTCAACTCGCTGACCCGGAGAAAAACATAGCTCCCAGTTGGTATTCAAGTCGATAACACGCGTCGTGGCTGCGTCTTCGATCGCAAATTCTCCTTTCTCGATTTTCTCAGCGCTGTTACCGTGGTGCTTGAAATTAACCTTCAGAACCGCCACTAGAGCCTACTTCCGTTAGCCATGGGTCCAATTCTGTTCAATTAAATATCGCCATACCTCTGCTGAGCGCACGAATTCAAGATGAAATGGGCTGTATCTACCGAATGCATCGATCATATACACTGGCTGCTGGCGGTCCACTTGAGTCGGAATGTTGACAATTATCTGCTGAATCTGCAGAACAGCTTGGAAATTTTTGACGTTTGTGCTCCTATGCAGTCAGCTATACGGGTTTTAATATTCGCCAAAGCTCTTACAGGATCGAGGAAGTCATATTAAGCAACTCCTGGCCTTGCCTCACCACGACCATAAGTCGCTGCATGCAATTGAAATACCCTTCCTGAACTCTGCCAGCAAGACTCTTCTGCCTTTCATCCTGTTTCTTCTCGTTCATATTCGTTTTACTCCTACTCAAGCATCAGCATTCATCCCAGACTTCCCAAGTCTCAGGGCTCACATCTGCACAGTCGCAAGCAGCAATTGAATACTCTCCGTGTGCCCCACCAAGTCCGCCTTAAATTTCGTAACATCCTCTTTCTTGCACAATGCCCACTTGATCTTCATCCAACTGACCTTCACCTGGGAGTTCGACCTCGTCCCCCCAATGGCGGGCTGATACTTTGTCACCTTCCCCCAAAACGCATCAATCGTCCGCTGACACTGTGCTGCCGCCCTATCGCATCTCAAATCAGCTTCCATTACCACCACCCAGCACCCAGACTCATCTCCTAACGCTTCAACGCCATCAAAACGAATGACAAGGCCGGGGATTAGGAAATCATCTTACTGCCTCAACGCAATCACCTCCGCATAAATGCCATCATCGACCTCCAGCCTCTTTACTTGAATCAGCGCCGACTCAAGACTCAACAACTGGCAAATCAATTCCCGATACTCTGTGCTGGCATGGCCACTGGAGCGTAATGCATCAACTACCGTTCCCACTAGCTCGATCGCGGCGAGGAAGTCGCTGGACGAGAAGCTGAGGCCGATAGACATGGCTCTCTCTCTCTCCGTCTCGAACTTGATGCGTCTCTTTGTAAGTAGTCGTTTGTTGGAAGTTGTTTCGTTGGGGTTCAGAACTTCAATGAAGTGAAGGGGATAAATAACGGAACTTGCGGTGTGTGGGAGCAAGGCTGAACGCGAGGCTTTTTGGGACGTGAGCGTGCGGCGTGCAGATGCTGTGTAACCTCAGGTTCTGGAAGGGCTGCATCGCGATGATGGGTTAGTCATTTGCAATGCGAGATAGAAATCGTGTAAAGTCGTAATTCAATACAAAAATGAGATTCTGCTAATCACTAAACTCAATGTTGACTTCGATGTATTACAAAGACTCCTTTGCCGCGAGCTTCTGCCTCATTTTGAACCGCTATGGTCTCCGGCATTTCAACCGCCGTATATGAACTCGAACTTTTTAGAATTGGGAAGTCGTGATCTCTTCGAAAGAGTAGTGAGTCGGGATTTGTGAGCAAAGGGGCCCATAGAATGGAAGGAAGAAGGAGTGGTCGATCACGTGACATTCCCCTTTCCCTTTGTTTACTTTCATTATGACCAGCTTTGCGCATGTTTCAAGAGACAAAGACTACTCTCAGACTCAAATATCCATTAAAATTAGGTTAGCATAGATCAAAAAATAATGCAAGAGTGATCAGCTCTCTGGATAGGAAAATATCGGAACTCCCTAGTTCTCGGGCCTCTCTATATTATCACTTCTCAATAATTCCAGGAACCCTCCCTATAACAACATAATAGTTGCATCTCATATACATCTCACCCGTCTCCAGCTCTGCAACAACTCTCCTCTCCCATTCCCTAACTTTCTCCAAATTCCACCCACTCCACATTTGCAAGCCAGCTTGTTCCAGAATCCCAAGCAAAGCCCTCGCATGCACGTCGGAGAATTCAGCGCGGAGGGAGGGGTCGCGGTCACTGCTGAAGACATCCTGCGTGCAGTCTTCCAAGCCCATGCACCTAAATATTTCAAGAAGTCGCCGACAGCCGCTGGGATCGGTTCCCTTCGAGTGGAGGAAGGATAGTGCGTACTTGGCTAGGGAAGCGAGGGAGTGGGAGCAGGCTTGGGGAGTGTTTTGTAGCGGCGTGCAGCTTTCCGAAATGTCGGCCTCCATCCACTGGATGTAGCCGCCTGGCTCTGAAAACTTGGTTAGCCTCGAACCCTCACAGTGTACATATTAACACCGAGCATCTGAGGATTTGAGGATGACTGCTTACTCAACAGCGAAAAGAGATTTCTGGCAGCGAGTTCCCATTCCTCCTTCTTCAGCGCCGACGCAACCAATCGTATGGAAACTAAGTCGAAAGCTCCCTGATGATGTATTGGAAAAGGCTTGAGCAAGTTTTGAGCCTCGAAGGACACATTCTTTGGTATGGAATCGGGGTGAGGAAATTGGTTTTTGCAGTTGTCAAATCCGACTAACGTTACGCTCTCTGTTAGGGCTCGGGCTGTTGCAAGAGCCCATATTCTGTGGAGGTGGTGAATAGTTAGGAGGATGAGAGTGGGGAGAGAAGGCGAGGAAGTACCCTGTCCCTGTTGCAACGTCTGCTATTTTGGAATCTTTTGGTAGAGTGGCATCGATGGCGGGATGGATCAGATAGTCGAGTGTTCTGGTCCAGAGCCGATGTTGGCGGTTAATCCTTCTTCCGGGTCAGTTCGAGGCTTCAGTCTATACTGATACCCACCTGCGAAACTCATTCTCGTCACGTTGGAGTAAGCATGTGTCTGAAGTCTCTGGCATCACGCTATTTGCATAGGAAGAAAGAAGGACGTCAAAAAATGTAACATTGAAGGTGTCATAAACTGTAGATGGAAAAGCAACCAGCTCGCTGGCATCTAGTAGCCTTTTAACTTATCGCCCTTACCCAACGAAAATATTGCCTGCGGAGTCCTGGCCTGTCTGCCGAGAAGCTGGAAGCCAGAGTCTCGACATGTAAGCCTTCTCTATCTTGAAACTTTTAGAAGTGGCGTTTGGCCGCTGGTGACAGGTCTGATTCTGGAGTGATGGACAGGGAACACATAGTCAGGAGAACCAGGTTCATGGACAAGGTGCGGCCTCCCGGGACGCGATTGGAAGCAGTTGTACCATGCTGGTGGGACTTGGAGTGTTGATCGTTAGATGGCCAAGGACGACGAAACGCACCATTTACGTCCTTATTTCTGACATATCACTACGATGAGAACAAGCTAATCAATCTCCGTCAAAAGAACCTCTTCTCATTGCCACGAAGCCTCGTCTCCAGGAGCTCGGGACGAGAAACCACGCAAGGAGTACGGTGAGTTTTCCTACCAAGTAGGTAACTTTGAATCATTGCTCGTCCTCACCTCCGTTAACAATCGATCAGAAAAGCCCCCACAGAGGCATCTTCCAAGCGGCAGAACCGTACTGTGGGGTCGCCACTAACATTCGCTAGTTTACCAACATTTGCTGCTTCACACACGGAGTACACGGCACCTCATAGTTCTGGGTTCGAACTCCTCTCGGTCTTTGATTCCTCTTGACTATTGATCTTGGTTCTAACGTGTACATAACGATATCTCTATAGCTGTGTATTTTTAATCTGTTCTCTTATCAATCTAATTCACTGCCGGCTTTTACTCTGTTCACACTCGGGGAGAGGTTGGATTGCGTGTAACGGTCCTTTGGTACGACTTATCCCAAACTGAGGAGTCGCAAACCTGCAACACGTGGGTATCTGAAATGGAGTGCTGAGAGGGAAAGCGCGCGGATCAATTCCTGAAGGGAAAGACAAGGGTATTTTCACATAGGCAGCCGGTACGCTTTGGAAAGTAGGATGTATACCCGTGCTAGGCTAGAAAAAAAAGCCACTATTAGACTCTTTCGCAATCATATCTATGGAAGAGAGATCTAGAGCAGTCATTCTAGAAGATGCAGGCAGAATCATAATCAAGATTTTATCACGTGACCCCCTCCCCCCTTTTATCCTGGATTCACGATTTGCTTAGTGGATTTGGAGCATGGCACTTGAGTTTTGCACCTTTTTCGTATGTGAACTTCTACTATTAATTTTGTACTGCTTGATGTTCCTAGTAACAGCGTTAAGGAGTCCTTCATTTCGATTTTTGAACTCCACTTTCCGCGCGGGAACACTTCCAACTTACGTAAAAACGTGCAGTTTTTATAGCCAGATGAATTCTAATAAACAACAGATTTTAATCCTGATTTTCTCAATTGTTAGAGGCTTGAGAGCCTTCATGATATCAAAACCTTAAAGGCTAATTTGCGTTTCTCGGCGTGAAAGGAGTGGTACGGGGGTTCGAATGCACGTTCGAACCCACAAAGAACTGAACGAAGATTAGATGCCACTAACAATTATGTCTAGCCCGACACCTATATTACTAAAAAGCATGAAAGAGGTATTCAACACTGCAGATTTAGAACTATGAACGCTGCGGAGCTCCAACCGTTGAACATTAGTTAGCCATCCGGCTATCGCCATCACCCTTCATCCGATTCTCTTCATCGTCCTGAAGTTGGCCCCAGTCTTCATTGGGGAACTGCTGCTCATGCTTCTTAAGATCATCGAGCCTGCCAAGCCTTATAAAGCAACGTCCCATTATACGAATATCACCACTTTCCGGGGCTTGACCAATAGCAACTTTGCGCTGTATCTTGTCCAGACAAATATGCAAACATGCATCCAAATCCCCCAACATCCAATGCCCTGCTAACAAAAAGGTTTGCAACCTTTCGGTTGCCTCGCAATACCCAAGTAATTCAACATACGACTTGAAACAGGCTTCAGCCTCCTGTATAATTTTTGGCTGAAGAGTCCCTGTGGAAATAGCGGAAGAAAGCCTGTTTGAAACAATCTGTAGGTGATCCGATATCTTAGGTGAAGCGTCATCAACACCGCCATCGAGCTGCCGGTGTGGAAGAATGATGTTACGGAGCATCATGTTCAATTTCAAAAAGTCATTGCTGGACTCCAGCATCGCGCTCTCGATTGCGAACTTTAGTGCGGGTTCGATCTCTCCTGGAATTGCTTCATTCGAGTTCTTGAGAAGACGCGTCCTGGATATTTGCTGCACAGTCTCGGAGGGTGCATCCACTACGTCTTTACCCTCAACGAGGCACTGTGCAACTCTATTGAAGAAGTGATTGCCTATTTCTAGGAATAAAACGAAGTCGGAGCAGGTTAACGGAGCCGTTTTTCTAAGCAGCGACAAAAAAGTTTTCTGCGCTTCTCGAAACTGACCTGCTCCAAAACATGACAATCCTTGGTAGTATTCCGCGATAAGCGCAATCATCTCGATCTCTTCAGACTCTTCAACAAGTTGTTGCTGTTCCAGCAGTTCCAAAAAGTTGGCAAGAGCTAGCGCTGAAAGGTCATAACGAGGCCGGAAACTTGCTGTCGTATTATGAAACAGAGAAATCCATTGTCGTGGATTTAGTTGCTCATATTGTTCTGTAAATAGGGACAAATGTTGAAAGCACTCAACAAGATCCTTGTAGACGCGCTGGAGTGAACGCTCATCTTTCAGCTTGATGTGTACAGCGATGAGATCCGCGAGAAGGATTCCACGGGGCTGGGTCATCCATACAGGAATCTTGGATTTGGCTCGGAGCAGAAGATATTTAGCTTCGTCGTAATCCCCCATTTCCCTTTTTGCAGTTCCCATTGCAATAAGGATGTACCAATCAGGATATTCGTCGGACTCGAGTAATCGGGATTCACCCTTTTCAGAGCTCAAGGCGGCTCTCAATATTTCAAATTGTGCCTCGGATATATCAATTTCGTTTCCAGAGAAGACAAACTTCAAGCCGACCTGCCGAAGGTCTCGGATACCGAGACGTAAACTCTCTGGAAGATCGCCATTCAAATTGATGCAGGCAAGAGCGTGCCGGCCAGCCTCGAAATGTAGATCAGTAAGGTGAGGGGTTTTGTCAAGGTCACAAGCCAAATGAAAAGTGAGGAAAGCCGCTTCGAGAATGTAATCTTTGTCACGTCTTGAGCGTAGCCAGCGTGATACCAGAGGGTGGATTGAGTATAAAACACCCCTTGTATCATCATGGAGTATAGAAGATACAAGTCCAATCTTATAGGCATCTTGAATGAACTTGAGAAATACTCGGCTATTTTGGTCTAGATCTTGCAAAAGTGGTCGAGTCCATGAAGCAGAGTATGCAAGGACTGACTCTTCGGTATGACTTGAGGTACAGCTTTCCGGCGGCGATTCATTTGATGCAACTCTTTTCGAAGATACGCGATCAACTAATCTAAACCATGGAGTAAATGTAGCTTGAGAAATGCTTTTGCTGTCGAGGTAGGCAGAGAGAGTGAGGAGGTGGCATTTCGAGGGTCCATTGTGTTGATTCTCTAGGTAATCGAAGGACATTTTCCATGTTGTCTGGATTCCAATTCTTCGTCGCTGTTCGGGACCAGCTCGGTTCTCCTGAATGGCTTTCTCGTACTCCCAGACCCCCGGAAGTTCCTCGTCCAGGAGGATCTCCTGTGCTTCTTGAAACTTCTTGAGAAATTGACGGTAGCCCAAATTGTTCGCTCTAATTAAAGCCGCTGCTTGATCTAGACCAAGAGGAAGACCTCCTAGAGCATCAATGAGCTCTATGGTGTCGCTAACGGTATCACTAGATTTACCACGACCGGACCGGAGGGACAGAAGATCGCGACCTTCTTCTTGAGAAAACGGCAGAATTGGTATAGGCGTTCCCAATTGGTCAGCATCCAGATGGCGACTACAAGAAGTGAGACCGAGTACAATAGGACAAATCATGATCCTCACACGAACCTGGTGATGATTATGTCCCCAACTCCACCAAGTTCCATATATGCTTTAATATTGCCAACTTTTCCAGGTTCGTCGATGTTATCAATTACAAGAAGATATCTTGATCCTGACAGACGTTCCTGGATATATTCTAGAGGAGACAGATTTTCCGCAACAGCGCGTTGCAACCCAAGCTTATCTCTGCCTGGGGACCTCCCTAAGACTTTGGCAAATTGCACGAAGCTTTGCTCAAGAGAGCTTTGGTTCTCAGCGTTTGCCCACAGGATATAATCGTAGTTCTCGTTCCTGGCACATTGGCAATATTCCAATGCAATTTGTGTCTTGCCTTGGCCACCCATAGCACGTAACACTAAAATGACACTCCTCGTAGGATCCCGGTCGTCGCCGTTGAAGCAGCTGCGCAATTTCCGGAGAATATCTGTTCGCCCAATGAAATAGTTGATTCTTTGCTCAAAGGGACAAACACAGACTGGCTCTGAACGAACGGGTTGCTCGCCGGGCCATTTTTGAGGGGCGCTGGGGATTACAAACTCTTGGAAAAGTAAGCTACAATTCTTAGGTGTCAAGGAATTAAATAGTGTAACTACCCAAGTCAGAGGCAGCGAACCTAGGACTCCGATCGCAGAGGGCTACGACAGCCTCATTCACGCTGCCAGCAATCCTATGGTCTCCAAGATATGCAATCGTCTTTGCTTTGATATTTCCAAGTTCCTCCCATTCTTTTAACGAAATATTCTCCAGGCCGTGCTCCACGTTGAAACGAAAGTAGCTGCCAGGATTTGCAGAGAACCTTTGACTAATCTCCCCTTCGACTGTCTCGCAGTCAGTCGCCATTTTTCTCAGCGCATCGACGAGTTTCGTTGGCAATGTCTTCTGGATGAATCCCGGAGTCTTGAATTCAGTGACGTTGGTTTTGCCGGTGCCAATACTGATAATGCATACGATGGGATCCTGTCTATCGGATATTTTGACAGCCTCCTCCATCAAAAGTTTTGTTGGGTTGTTAGATCCCAGACCGCCGTCTAGAAATTCTTCTTTTGCATGCTGTGGCCCAATCTTGAGACGCTTGAAGAAGGTCGGTGCCGCGGATGTAGCTCGAGCAGCTTGCCATACCGTCATTCCCTCGTAGTCTCCAGCGGTATAAGATCGGTATGACCGAAAGAGCCGGGCCGTGTTCATCGCTCGAGCATTCCTAGAACAAACGAATCTTAAAAGTTGCATTAGCTTTCGCCCAGATAGGTCACAACGCTAATCATGGATCAGGAACTCGGAACCGGTATTCTCACTCTAAAGTATGTGAGAAAGGGTCACAACTTACACTTTGCAGTTGGACGTGCTGTCGCCCTCTTCCAGTAACTTTAGTTCTGGGCTTGCCTTCCCATTTTCTTCCTTAGGGCTTCCATAACGCTCAACTGCCTTTTTGATAACCTTCTCTAACGTCGACGCGGAATATGTACCTTCTGAGAAACGACGTTTTGGTTTCCCGAAGACCTCTTTCGCAATATTGCAGTATTCCTCCAGAACCTCGTCCACAGACATTTTCAATCGACCTAACATTATGGCAATGAGCCCTCCTGTGCTTGTACCACCGATGAGGTCAAACAATTCGCAAGGCTTCGGAGGGAATTGGAGGCTTCTGTGCTTCTGAACACGAAGCATCAGCTCTTGGAGGACGATGAGCTCGCTCAGACCTCGAACACCGCCGCCATCTAGATCAGATTAAAGCTTGCTCAGCGACTGGCACTACCGCGAGGGTAGCAGGAGGAGTAACTACCTAGTGCAAGCAAGCAGAGCGGCTGTCCCTGCTGGCTCATGCTTGACAAAATTGCCCGTGGGGGATCTAGTAATCGTACCTCGCAAAGCCACTAACTGGGACGCTGTATCGCCGGTTATTCTTGCACAGCTCGTGTTGCTATGTCCACGGTAAATGTTCTTTTCTATGCTTCTCGTGGCGACGAAGGAGCAAGAGAACTAACTACCACGAGGCTACGGAAGGTGATGTCCAAGCGAAATGTGAAACGCACTTGCATGCTTCACCTACCAAAAATGGAAAAACGTAAAACGGCCCCCCCACACGCCCCCGAGTGGTCGATCGGGGTATTGATCAGGAGCCAGATTAGCCACTGACCCAAATTAGAGGCGCTCGGACAGGAATACCAAAAATCTAGCTTTTTCTTTAAATTTATTTTATTTTATAAAGAATTAATAAAATATAATTACTCTTTTTTATTTTCTTATAGTACTAATTAAGGACTATTTAAATATAACCTTTTTATAAAATATAAGTCAGTAATAGTTCTTTAAATTAAAGAAGTTAAAAAAGTTAATATTTTATACTAGCCTAAAGTAAGTATAAGAAAGCCGAGAAATTTAGCAAATAAGTTTCTAAAACTAAATATAAGAGTAATATAAGCCCCAAATTTGTAAGGATTTATAAAGCTTAAAAACTAGAACTTAATTAATTAGTATATATGTTACAGCAAGATTGCTGCAATAGTCAAAGCATAAAGGTTGTGGCAGTGCTAGCTAGGGTCATATGAGGGTGGCTATCACATGACTGGTTTCATTTGGCTAGCCGGCATTTCAGTGGTTTTAGCTACTATTCCCTCCTTTTATCCTCTCTCTCTCTCTCTCTCTCCCCTTCTCTTTAGCTTAGTATTCTCAATACATGGGATTCTCGGAACTTTGAGCCTTTAACCATTGCCTTGATCCCGCCGTTACAAGGGTTAAAGAATCTCATGTATTAAAAATACTAAGCTAGAGAGCAGAGGAGTGTGACGGCTAGTGCGATGGCTAGCTTACGTCACGTGTGGTAGGCTATCACTTGACTGGTTTCACTTACCTGGCCGGCGTTTCAGTCGTTTCAGCTAGTCCTTCATTGCCTTCTACTCTCTCTCTCTCTCTCTCTTCTTCTTAGCTTTGTATTCTACAAGACAGGAAATAGAGATCTCTGCACCTCGTTCCATTGCTCCAACTCCGCCGTCACAAGGAGAAGGGAATGCCTCGATCTTTAATAGTCCTTCGCCGATCTCTAGCTTACTGTGGGAGGGAAACTGTGACAAGATAAAAAAACCCACATAAAGGACTGTAGAGTACAAAATGTGACTAAACAGCAAAAGCAAGGACATGCGCAGTAAATCAGGAGCAGTGCGCGATTGTAAAAGTGTCAATTGATTGTCAGGAAACAAGGTTGCTTGACTAAAACTATGGAGAAGGCCAGCTCTCTTATGTGTTGCTGCCAAGTCACATGACGGTGGACAAGTCCGTGCTCATGTGACCACTTCTAAAACTGCCAAAAACAAACATGATTTTTATGGAGTACGGCTTGCCGTACCACACCAGCCTGTTCAGCACTGGAAGATATTCCCAACGGTCTAACTGGCCTTCTTTATAACAGGGACAAATATGTCTGCGGTTTGCCTTCAATCAGGGCGTGAAGATCTCATAGTGGTACAGTACAACGCCCTCAATGGTGCTTCTGTGGGGCATCTCCATCGCCAATGGCTGTACGGGGACGCCTTTTGGAGTGCCTTCTTCTCTGGCCGGCACTTCAACCTGGTAGCGTTAGCGACTGTTATTACAACCTTGGTTGTCATCGACCAACCTTTGATTTAAAGAGCCTCAACCATTGTATCTTTTCAATATCGGCACCCAGTCCAAGTAGTCCCTCAAATAGCGCCTGAAATATCATGGGGGTACACTTGTTACCAAAGTGGACGGGGCGGTGAAGAGCAACTGATGACCGGCTCAACGATTTCAGTATTCAACGGCTTCAACTCGAAGAATCCAGTGGCCGCGAATCTCTGGCTGCACTGAAACCTGCACTGGATTTGTCCACGCTGGTGGACTAGCTACCCAATGTTCCTCCATCAGCGGGCTAGTTACTCACTTGTTGCATGCTGACAAGGACTATGGTGCCGGCATTCCACAAGACATCTAGTTGGCAGAGTCGTCCTTTGGCGTAAACTTCACATTGGAAGCCGCAGAGTCGGATACTAACGGCACTCGAATGACGATGATAGTGTGGTATACCAATAACGCAACCTCAGACTGCACAGGGGCCATGATGCTGAGGGCTTGTTCACTGCGGCCTGCAACTATCAGGCACCCGATAAATCTTGAAGGAAACGAACTCTCTTTGGGAAACATCATCGAGGGTTCAAATGTGACCTCGTTCCAGCGAGCCTCATCAAACCTCATTAGCATTGATGGTGGCAGCGACTTTGACAGGTGGACTTTAGGCGGTCTCTATGTCGCTGCCAATAGCTTCTTCGCTGCCAACGTCTCGCACCAATTTACCGGTGGTCATGGGAGCGTTGTGTACCCCCAGGCAGTCTCTCGAACCGATTTGTTCAGATAGCACCAACTATGCTCGGTGCAAGCAATGATCGTACTAGTATCTACAACATATCTATACCACAAGTGTTCTCCTCGAACTGGGCAGACCCAACAATATACATTCCTACATCACTAAATGAGCTTGCATTCCGCGTTCAAGCGGCATTGAGTTTCGCAACACCTCGCAGCCACCCACTGCGCAGGTCTTGAATATGGAGGAGGTCTCTACGATCAACGTATTCCACTCGGAATACCATTATCTCCTCGGTAGCTCACTTCTGGGCGCGTTCTTCGTTCTGTTGGTGGCGCCAACGTTTTGGGGTGGGTGGGAGATTGGAAGGAGTGTGACCTTGAACTCGATAGAGATTTCCAAAGCGTTTGAAGCGCCATTCTTCCAAGGATCGGGCTCCAATGCTACTGAACATGAACTGGTTCAGAATATGGGCTCGCGCTTGTTGAGATATGGAGAGGCCGATGATCAAACCCGTGCAGAAGGTTCGAAGAGACAGCTGAAGCTTGCTGATCCACCCGAGATAGCAACCCCGACCCCTTGTGCCTTCAGAATCGAGAGAATTGAATAAAATCACCCACTTGAGTAGTCTTCTGTATGATGGAATCGTTGATCTTGTTAAATCACCGAAGGGTGCGGGAAAGATGGAAGAAGATAAGGATGAATTGGCAAAGAGAGGTGAAAATTGGGAGCACGTGATGACGTTTTGTTGACGTGATTGGTTTTCCACCGCGTAGAAACGACCACTCGACAACTCCAACCCTATCGACCACCGCTCGCAAAAAGCTGTTTCTTCCTCAATTATTCAACGTGCCCAATGTCAGCGCAGATAGCTCAAGGTCATGACCTGCGCACTTCACGAGCTCCCCAGTAACTCTTGACGCGTCTAGCCATGAACCCCGATGGCCTTCTTACCAACCTCAACAACTCACAACACGCGGCAGTATCCTCCTTCGCAGATACGTTGGCCATTCTTGCGGGTCCAGGAAGTGGAAAAACGCATACTTTGACGTCGCGGACGGCCTGGTTGCTTGCGCAGGGACTCCAGCCATGGAATGTTGTTGTTGCGACCTTTACCGTCAAGGCGGCGCGGGAGATGAAGGAGAGGATTGGGAAGCTAATTGGAAATGGGATGGAGTCCAAATTGGTATTGGGCACATTTCACAGTATCTCGCGGAGGTATCTGGCTCGATATGGCCACTTGATCGACATTCGTAAGGACTTTGGGATAGCGGACAGTGCAGACTCTCTGGCTATCATCAAGCGCATTGTCAAACGATTTGACTTCAGTATTGATCCTAAGGTTGCTCGATCACGAATTAGCGGAAGGAAGGCTCGCACATCGGTCATTGAGGAGGGTGAGATCAGGAAGCCAGCCGCGAAATCGGTGGAGGCAGAGGAGTTCGAGAGGTGCTATGTCGAGTACGAAGATGCTCTCAAGCGATCAAATCTCCTCGATTACGACGACCTACTCCTTCGATGCGTCGATCTTCTTCGAAAACACCCATCTTGTGTCTCCAACGTCGAAGCTGTGCTGATTGATGAGTTTCAAGACACGAATCTTGTCCAGTTCGACCTCATGCGGCTATTTGCTGCGCACAAGAAACGAATCACAATTGTGGGCGACCCCGACCAGAGTATATATGGCTTTCGTGCGGCAGAAATAAAGAATTACAAACGGATGCTTCATCAATATCCAGATACGGTCACAATTGCTTTGGAGGAGAATTATCGCTCGTCGGGTGCTATCCTTTTAACTGCTTTGAATGTTATTGAGCAGGACAGTTCCAGAGTTGCAAAGTCTCTGCTTCCGACTCATATAGTCGGAACGAGGCCTGTCCTTCGGAAGCTTGCTGGAGCCCACAAGGAAGCAGAATGGATTGTGACCGAGATACAGAGAACTAAGGGGCTTACGGGTGATCTACTCGATTTGAACGACTTTGCCATATTATTACGCTCCGCGTCCCTGTCCAGGTTGATCGAGACTGCTTTGGGCAAGGCCGGTATAGCTTACCGCATGGTCGGTGAGTTGTTTTCATTTCCTAAATTTATATATAGACGTCTGACAACTGCAGGTGGTCTGCGATTCTACGATCGCGTGGAAATAAAAACCATTCTCGATTATCTCAGAGTTATCAGCCAACCAGACAATAATGATGCACTTGCTCGGATCATCAACACACCATCAAGGAGGATTGGCGAGTCCACAATCAAGGGTTTATTGGAAGAAGCTGATCAAGCCAAGATCACTCTCTGGTCTCTGGTACTTGGAATCGTGCAAGGAAAGCTGACTGCGAAGACCAAACTCAAAAACCCAACTGAAAAAAATCTCTCTAGCTTCGTGAACATTATCTTGACGGCAAGGGCCAAGATGGGTGGGCCGGTGGAAGAAAGAATGAGTACCGTCGAGCTGATAAATTTCGTCCTCAAGAAAACGGACTATGAGGAGTGGCTACTTGAACACCATGGAGATGTTCACAAGTCCCGTTGGGAAAACGTTCAGGAACTCATCACGCAAGCCACCGACTTCCAGGACGCCATTTCTTTCGGGTACGAAGACGAGGCGCTTCCTGGAATCGATGGCTTGGGGCAGGAAGAAGATTCAGATCACTTGTCAAAATTTCTTGCCAATGTGGCACTTGCATCGGAAGTCAAGAAGGACGATGAGGAAGGAAGTACAACTGCCCAGGTAACAATTTCCACAATTCACGCTGCGAAGGGTCTAGAATGGCCAGTGGTATTTATTCCGGCAACATATCAAGGCTCAATCCCGCATTCAAGAGCAGAGGATACCAACGAAGAACGCAGGTTGCTATATGTCGCAATGACAAGAGCGAAAGCACTGCTCTACATGAGCTGTCCGCTCAAGAACTCTCAAGGAGAAGAAACCACGCTCTCTCCTTTTCTAACGCTGCCTTCACTGGCTCCACTTCTAGATTCAAAAGGCCCTTCCTTAGGATCCTCGACGGTGCAATCAATGGCCCAAATACTCCGACGCAACCTTCCTACCACGGAATCTATATCGGTATCCTCAATCTCACTGCCCAGCATAGAAGATGATCTATTCCCCAAGGAAGGAAAAGAGGATGCCCATGAAAAAGAGGTAAGGCTGAATTCCATCACTGGTGGAAATCCAACCTTTACGATGGGACAACAAGCTCCGAAACGTAGACGAGTCGAGTTGAGACGGTCAATTAGCGATTTAGAAGAAGGTACGGAAAGGAATTGGAAACCTACCTATGCTACAACGATGGATCGGGCGTCGAGTTTCACGGCCGCAGCTGTTGGTATTGGGATGAAATCTGGATTCGTGGGTGCAGGCTGCCATCTTCAAGTGCTGAAGGAGCAATCTGTCAATATGAGTCTGCAAGATACGGAAGATGTCGAAATGCCTTCGAAGAAAAAAACGGCTGAGAAGAAGAGCAAGTCTCTAGAAGGCCAAGGGACACTACTTGGCTTTTTAGGGAAGCCGGAACCCGGGAAACCCATCCCAATAAAGAGCCAGGAACCGCAGCATCCACCCTCGACGCAGTTCTCGATTTCGCGAACCCTCAACCAGCCAAGGCCACCTGCTCTGTATACAGCCACAACAACCATCCACCCTTCCCTCTCAACGCACCGCCTGAACCGCATATCAACAAATATCCGACCCCGACAACCTCCTCCTTCACAAACGGAACAACAAAGCAAAAGAAACGACTATGTCTTCCTTTCCAGCTCGCCTCCACGCCCTAAACATCCCATCGTTGAAGAGCCGGTCGAGCCCCCACCTGGATTGGTGGCGAAACCTCCCTTGTTACCTCTTATCCGTCCTCCGTCCGTCTCGATGCATGAGACGAGTATTGAGCGCTTGAAAGCTGGAAACGGGGGAAGTGGAATTGGAGGAAAGGGGAAAACGTTAGGTGTGAGGAGGAGCATGAATGGGTGGGCTGCGCGGAAGGGAGGAGGTAGTGGAGGGTTTGTACCGCCTGTTATGAAACGGAATGCATGATTCATGAAAATGGGTTACGGGGACATGGCGTGTTTTGGGATTGAAATGTATAATTGCTAGATGAAATTATGTTGGGTAATCTACGCCGGATCTTAACCTGAGGTGTTGCTTCCAACGCGGTTGGCCGTTTTAACTAATTTTTGGTTGTAGGATCGCGAAACCGTGTGTGCGCCTTTAGAATCTAAAGTTTTTAGGCCCGTGCGATAATTTTTGGGGTGGTGCAGGGCGCGGGGGGCGACACAATTCAAATTTCAGCCAAAATTGCTGCCCAACCCAGCCTTGTTCATATCTTCAGACATTTGAATTCCACCATCCAACTAATAATTTCTGTCATAGTCTCAAAGTTTCAATTCCCTTATATAGCGCAGCGTGCGATCGATCGAGTTGGGCCAGCCACGAATTCACCATGCTCTGCGAATATTGCTGCACGATCGATTTTTACGGTAACCCCGGCCCAGAAGGTCTTGAGCGGATGATGTATCATGAAACGATACAAAAACTCTTTCAATCTGCTGTAGATGGATGCGAATTGTGTCGCAAGATATGGAGTATGAGAAAAGATAAGGGAAAAAATATCCATGACTACGAATCTCAATACAGCTACGTGGCGTATCGGTTCCTGGCTGATACATTTTCAACGAGCGGATCTGAGTTAATCTTCGAGAGTCAAGGTGGATTTTCTTCGAGACTTAGTGTGTATGCAGATGAAGGTAGCCAAACCAATCATTCGCTCAAAAGGGAAACCCTGATAACTGTTGATATGTTGACAAGACGTTGATTCTTTCGCAGCGCGAATTGGTATCCCTTCGTCCGCCATCAACTGTCCACGCTAGCAGGGGGGGACCTGGCTCGGGGCGAAAACGTGTGCCTTTGCTTAGAAACCTATTAGTCATCTATCGCGTTTTCGCCCTGAGCCAGGCCCCCCCTGCTAGCGTAGACAGTTAATAGCGGACGAAGGGATAGAGTTTTTATTATTTATAGTTTAATAGTAATTTCTTTATTATAAAGAATTAGTATTTTATAGTCTGTTTTGTTTTTAAGAGTCTTGCCTTAATATTAAACTAACTTAATTTGCTTTTATAATATAATTTGAAATATCTAAAATAATTATTAGTTTAGTTTATTTTATTAAATTTTTTCTTAGTATATTATTATATTAAAACTATAAAAATATTAGAATAAACTTATAAAACTTATCTAGATTATTTTATTTATAGATTACTTTCTATTTGTTTTATTTATTTATTAGTATTTTTATTAGATAGGGATTTTAATATTATATTTTTATATAAAATAGTTTTTATAAACTATAATTCCGATTTCTATTAATTTGCCTGAAAATATTTAGCTATTTTATTTTATATCTTTGAATTTATTTTCTATTTAATAACTAGTTTAAATTAGAACTTGAATCTATTCTATTAATAAGGTTTAGTAATTAATTCTATTCTAATATAAAAGTATTATAAAACTAGAAAATAATATAATTATATTTCTCTAGGAATAGAAATTAGGAAAAGATATATATCTAGATTAAGAAATATATATATTTCTAAATATAATATCTTTTATATAGTAAAATTATAAATTCGTTATAATATTAAATATAAAGCTAGTTATTATTAATTCAAATATAAGAAATAGAAATAGAGAGTAAATATAGAAAATAAAAACAGGAAATAAAAGCAGGAAATAATAACTTAGTATTTTTTTAGATCTATTATACTTAGAAGTATTAGTAATAAAAGCTAGTAAATTCTTTAAATACTTATATTAAAATTATAATAATTTATTTTTAGATTATTAATTATATAATATATTTAATATTATTATTCTAGTATAAAATATTATTTTTATTATATTAAGGCTTTTAAATTTATAATATTATTAAAGTCTAGAGTTCTAGTAATAGTATTATTATAATATATATAAGGTCGCACGTGACTTAAGGGCATATAATAAACCTCGGATATTACGGGTATTAATTAGAGAGTTTAGTAGCCCTTTAATATCCCAACTAACTACTATTTATATTATATATATTAGGCTTATAAATTACTAATTATATATATATTATTAGGGCCTCCTATTTAGAAAGAGCTTCCCTGGATCTTATAAGAGGGGCAGAGATTAGTTCTATACTGAATTTAATATTATAGTTTTATAATATACTAATTTATTCTATTATCTTATTATTTACTAATAAATACCTTATAAACTAATCTCTCTATTCTTAAAAAAGATAGTTTAATAAGTAATTATATCTCAAAATCTATAAAATATATAATCCCTTACTAAAGCTATTTCTATAGAAAAAGTCAAATAGATTAACCCTAATACGGGTAATAGTAAAGGCTCATCTAATACTTTTAATAGAGTTCCTTAGAAGCCTTTAAGAGCTAGTAATAATAATATAAATAATTCCGGTAATAATTAAAATACCGAGATTAATACCCGAATTACTATTACTCAAGCTACGGAATAGGGCTTATATACTAAAGTTAAAGTACTCTAACAAAAACAAGAATTAGTAAATATAATTAACTAATATATCCTATAATTAGAATAATATAAAAGTACTCTTAAGAATATTTTATAATTTACTATATCTTATAGAAACTTTATTTATAAATCTATCCTATCTTTCTTAGTAATTCCTACTAGAAAACTTCCTGAAATAGGATTAGAATTCACTTCCTTTTCTAATATAATAAGCTTTAAAAGTAATCTTAATACTATTTATTAGGAGCTATTATATAATATTCTAAAAATATATTTAAATTAAAAGAAGCTTTTTAAAATCCGGATATCTAATTTATATTATAGAAAGTTCTTTAAGAAATAAAGAATATTTATATTTTTCTAGAAAGCAGTTTTTAGGACCTAACCTTAGACTTATAATAGATACTTTTCTAGAATTAACTCTATTATAAGTGCCCTTAGAAACGAATCTTATAATATTTAGGAGGCTATAATAAAGTAAAGCCTATTATTATATAAGGTTTATTAGAAGTAATTTAAGGCCTACTTAGCTAATATATTCTAAATACCTTAAACCCGTTAATAAAATACCTTTAAGAAACTCCGAGATTTTTATTAGAAGAATAATAAGATAATTACCAAGTTATATATTCAGATAATTAATTTCAAAATTAACTAGGACCTATATCCTAAGAGGAACCGGATCCGGACTCTTAATACTATTTTATCTAACTATAAGACTTATTAAATACTTATATCTATTTTTTTAGGAAATAAGGTAATATTTATTTCCGAATATTTTAAGAAAGCTCAGAAAATAAAATATACTATTTATCCTAAATTAAGAAAAATAAAGATAGGAAAATCTAGTAAAAGTAATTCTATTTCTAAAAACCCTAACTTAGTAAATTCTGATTTATAAGGCTATTAAAAAAGGAAGAATAAGTTCCGAAAATTATATAAGAAATCCTTAGGTAGTACTTTAGCCTTTTTAAGGCCTTAATAAAATACTAATTCTACTTTAGATATAGTTTATTAGACTTATAAATAAAAAGGATATTTCTTAGGAAATATAAAGTATTCTAAATATACTAAATAGACTTAGTAGAATTCTAATAAGGCCAAAACTATAAAAGAGTTAAGGTATTTATAAAAATAGATTAATATTATAGCTATAAAAAAATATTCTAAAGAAAACCCTTCTAAGAAATAGAGAGAAAAAAAGGCCAAATCTTAAATATTAATAATTTTAGCTATAATAAAAAAGGTATATTACTTTATATAACTATTTAAATAAGATTAATATAGCCAGAAATAGATACTTTAGAGATATATAGTAGACTTAGTAATACTAGATTAGATTATAATTTCATTAATAATAATTGGGCTTAAAGCCAGGACTTTATTACTTTAGCTAAATATAACTAAGAATTTATAACCTTTTATAAAAACTAATTTAAGATCTATTAAGCCTATAATTTTAAGGTATTTATTATAAATAATTATAATAAGATATATTCTTTTAAGCTCTAGTTTTATAAATATAAGAATATTAGCTTTTATAGCCTTATTTTTAGTATAGAATTTTATAAAGTAATTCTTATATAATATATAGACTATATTAAGAAATAATAAATATATATACCTATATAGCCTAATAATATTAAGATCCTAATACTAAAAGAATTTAGTAAGAAGCTTAACTAGTATTCTAAGCTAGTATCTCAAGTCTTATTCTTAACTAAAGATAAATATAACTATTCTAGATAATAGGCTTTATATATTTATAATAGTTACTAGGTTTCTGCTTTATTATATAGTTCTAGTAATACTAAATAAGAGTTTTTAATATAGTAAATTAATACTTTCCGGAAAGGGGCCTTAGAAATACCTATTTATTTCCGGAATAATAAATATAAAGACTTCTTAAAGATTTTTAATCCTAATAAAGCTTCGGAACTTTCTAATCTTAATAGTATTAAATACTCTATTAATATAAATAATATAGTCCTATATAGGCCTTTATATAATCTATTAGAAACCTAACTAGAAGTATTATATCTGTATTTATAGAATATACTTTATAAATATTAGATAAGATCTAGTAAAAGCCTAATAGAAATATTTATTCTTTTTATTCCTAAAAAGAATAAAGAACTATATCTTTATATTAATTATTATAGACTTAACCAAGTTATAATTAAGAATTAGTATTTGCTTTCTCTTATTAATAAAACCCTTAACTAGCTCCGAGAAACTAAGATCTTTATAAAGCTAGATCTTAAGAATATATATTATTAGGTAAGAATTTATAAAGAATATAAATAAAAGACGGCTTTTAGGACTTACTATAGCTATTTTAAATATCTTATAATACTTTTTAAGCTAGCTAATATACTAGCTATATTTCAAGTATATATTAATATTATATTTATAGAATTCCTAAATTATTTTATAGTTATTTATTTAGATAATATTTTTATTTATTTCTAAAATAAAAATAAATACTATAATTATAT